ATAGAATTAATACTACATAAATTCATAAAATTCACAAAATCTTTCCATTTTCAATCATTTTCTACAATATTCCATCTCTTTCGATCGTCGTGGCAACGAACAACATAGTCGCAGGAGACCATTTCAAGAGAAACAATTCCCAGCAACCCGAAATTCGGCATTTCCAAGAGAAATAACTATACCTAGCTCGAATACTCTTCTCTCCGCAGCAGTCTTCGCGGCGGATTCCGTAGTCCGCGTGCCTCGGATTCTCGGCGTTCCCCTCTTTCCGAGGAATCGGGCCGCTTCTCACGGTAAACGGGACAGAAAAGTTCGCGTCCGACGGCGACGCGCACGAATGCGGGATCGATGACATAATCGGTCCCAGCGAGCCTCCACCGTGGTCGCACCCCGACGAGGATCGTCGAGGTTAAACGGCGATTCGTATGCGGGATCACGTCGCCGCGACGACGTTTCGTCCGGCGCGGCGTGCACGCGCGTTCCCCGCGCGTCCCGTCGCCGCTCCGGGCCCCACCTGTCCCGCGGTCCCGGCGCGGCCGGACGCCGCAGCCGCGGCGAAATTTCGCGGGCGAAGGCTGTCCGCGTACTTTCTCACCTTTTTGCCGCAATCCACGCGCCCTCGCCCCTCCTATTCCCCGTCCGGCGAGAAATTCGGGACCGCGCGCGTACTCCTTTCTCGCAGATTTGCGTGGCCAGCCTGTTTCCGAAACCGCTCGCGCGACGAGACCGGTGTCGATTGCGGAACTCGCGACGTTTCTAGGAAAGTTCGAGCGGACGGGAAACCGGCGCGACTTCGCGGCGGTAGCTTCGGGGGCCCGATGAAGAGATACGTTTCACCGACGACACCGTTCGCCTCGTTGGAACGTTGCGGCCCGGCAAAAAGCAATGTAGGTCCAGGCTGGCCGCTGCAAATTGAGCAATTCCGATGCCGAATCGCTAACGAGCCTATCCGAGGCCCGCTCCGTTTCCCTCCGCCGCCCCCTTTTTTCGCCGGCGACCGCTTTTTCGTCCCCCGGCCCCGACCCGCCGTCGGCCGCGGCGTCGCGTTTTTCGGCACGGAACGCGCCGCGGGTGGCTGCCGCCCGATAAAATGCGCCCCGCCGCACCGCCACCCATAAATCCTCATCGGGGGAAAATTGAAAACTGCTGGATACCTCGTTGCACCCTCCCTCCCTCCCTCCCACCCCCTTATCCGCCCTTCTCCTTCCTTCCTCGAGAAGGAGCGTTTTCCGGGCTGGTCGCGTCGTTGCCGCGCCGCTGAAACAGAAAGCGGTCGTAGCTTCGAGTATAAATTGAATCCGTAATTTCGGGCCGGGACGATCCCGTTGGATCACGTCGGGATATTATGTCGCACCCTTCGGAACGTTCGAGAAGTTCTGGCGACGTTTTCTAAGCGAACTCCCTTCGGGAGCAAACGCGCCGGGCGATACGGCTTGATTAACCGGTTCGGACCAATTACTGTGAGCTGGCGACCGATTACTGTGAGGTGACGAAATATTATTGTGGAGTAGCGATCGATTACTGTGCGGTGGCAATTTATTATTGCAGGGTGGAGACCGATTACTGTGGGATCGAGACCGATTACTGTGGGATCGAGACCGATTACTGTGGGATGAGGACCGATTACTGTGGGATGAGGACCGATTACTGTGAGCTGGCGAAAGATTATTGTGGGATGGCGACCGATTACTGTGAGGTGACGAAAGATTATTGTGCAGTGGCGACCGATTACTGTGAGGTGACGAAAGATTATTGTGGAATAGCGATCGATTACTGTGCGGTGGCAATTGATTATTGCAGGGTGGAGACCGATTACTGTGGAATCGAGACCGATTACTGTGGGCTGGCGAAAGATTATTGTGGGATGGCGACCGATTACTGTGAGGTGACGAAAGATTATTGTGGAATAGCGATCGATTACTGTGCGGTGGCAATTGATTATTGCAGGGTGGAGACCGATTACTGTGGAATCGAGACCGATTACTGTGGGCTGGCGAAAGATTATTGTGGGATGGCGACCGATTACTGTGAGGTGACGAAAGATTATTGTGGAATAGCGATCGATTACTGTGCGGTGGCAATTGATTATTGCAGGGTGGAGACCGATTACTGTGGAATCGAGACCGATTACTGTGGGCTGGCGAAAGATTATTGTGGGATGGCGACCGATTACTGTGAGGTGACGAAAGATTATTGTGGAATAGCGATCGATTACTGTGCGGTGGCAATTGATTATTGCAGGGTGGAGACCGATTACTGTGGAATCGAGACCGATTACTGTGGGCTGGCGAAAGATTATTGTGGGATGGCGACCGATTACTGTGAGGTGACGACCGATTATTGTGAGCTGGCGACCGATTATTGTGGGATAGCGACCGATTACTGTGAGGTGGCGACCAATTACTGTGCAGTAGCGACTGATTACTGTGAGGTGACGAACGATTATTGTAGAGTAGCGATCGATTACTGTGAGATGAAGACCAATTACTGTGAGCTGTCGACCGACTACTGTGAGCTGACGACTGATTATTATGGGATAGCGACCGATTACTGTGAGCTGGCGACCGATTACTGTGAGCTAACGACCGACTACTGTGAGCTAACGACTGATTATTGTGGGATGGCGACCGATTACTGTGAGGTAACGAAAGATTATTGTGGAGTAACGATCGATTACTGTGGGATGGAGACCGATTACTGTGGAATGAGAACCGATTACTGTGAGCTGACGACTGATTATTGTGGGATGGCGACCGATTACTTTAGGATGACGACCGATTACTGTGGGATGGCGACCGATTACCGTGCGGTGGTAATCGATTACTGCGAGCTGACGAAAGATTATTGAGGGATAAGACCGATTACTGTGCAGTGGCGACCGATTACTGCGAGCTGACGAAAGATTATTGAAGGATAAGACCGATTACTGTGCAGTGGCGACCGATTACTGTGCGGTGACGAAAGATTATTGTGGAGTAGCGGTCGATTACTGGACACCGATTACTGTGGGCTGGCGACCGATTACTGTGCTCCGACGTCCAATTACTGTGCGGTGGCGACCGATTGCAGTGCCTTCGGTTCGTTGTCGGGCATAATTAACTTAATATTTATCAAACAAGACGTATCCGCTCGTTCAATACTTATTTAATTCGTTTGACTTTCGAATAAAAATATTTCATATGTCACACGCGATATGTATTATTCCTTTATTCTCTTTGTAACTAGTTAACAATGCCCGGCGACGATTCTTGCCACCTGAAACTTAGACTCTACCGATATAACTTGCCGTTGGCTGGTGCCCTAGTTGCCGTTCCGTACGCGGGGAAGCCAGAGATTAGTTGTTCGGAACATCTCGCAAACTCGATTCCGCTGATCTTTATCGGAACTGCTCGGAGTGTCTGGGCGCACCGTTTCGAACCATCGTGTGATCGGTTTTAGAAACTTGCTTTGTATTTCGCCTGAATTTTTACAGACTGATATCTTGGCACGCTGTGTCGCAATGCGAGGCGAACTATTACGAAAGAGCGTTGTACATTAAATTACAAAACGGTAAAGCAGGAGTGTCAAACTCGCGGCCCGAGATGAACGTTTTTGATGTCAAGTATCAGGACGTAAACAATAATTTAATTTGATATATGTTTATTACAATGTACTAGTCGAAATAAAAATATTTGTTTCTATGAACATTGATCTTTTTTTGCGGCCCGAGATGAACGTTTTTGATGTCAAGTATCAGGACGTATACAATAATTTAACTTTATACATGTTTATTACAATGTACTAGTCGAAATAAAAATATTTGTTTCTATGAACATTGATCTTTTTTTTACGGCCCACCTAAAGTTAAGCATTGTTTATTTATTATTATGGCGCAAGTTAGCTTTTGAGTTTGACACCCCTGCAGTAAAGTGTCAAAGAGAAAGAGAGAGAGAGAGAGAGAGAGGGAGAGAATAGGATAATTCGCTCGGCAACTTTTCGCGTAATACTTCGACGGAAATGTATGTACAATTTTTTGGCACGCGGGAAACGGTTGCTCGCATTTTCTAAATCGGGGGGCGGGGGTAGTGTACTATCGGGGAGGGTGGAGCCGGGTTTTACGTTTCGGGGAAGATTTTGTTGGACGGAATGCGACTGAAGAAATCGTTGGCCACTTTCGTGAAAACAAGACCGAACGTCTCCTCGTAGGGCGACTGGAGTTCTTTGAACAGCAAGTCCGAGTTCTCGTTGATGAATCGGTTCATCTGTTCGCCTGCGGACAAAGAAACAAACGTTAAAACCAAGTGGGAAGTGTTATACCGTGAACGAACGTGTTTGCGGGAAAAAAATGGTATATTTGGACAGTCCGTCGCTCCGTAACGCTGCTCCGGCGACGATAATTCGCTTTCGTTCTTTATTTCATATCAATGCGGGAAGAAATCGTGGTGGCGCCATCCGTGGCGAAAGCTCCAAGCTACTAGCCAAATGGTTTCGCGTTTTGAGTGCTAGATGGCGCATTGGAATCGTACAGTGGCGCCATGCGTGGCAAAACCTCCAAGCTAGTAGCCAAATGTTTCGCATTTGTGATATTAAATGACAGATTACAAAAGTAGTGTGGCGCCATCCGTGGCAAAACCTCCAAGCTAGTAGTCAAATGGTTTCGCATTTGTAATATTAGATGACAGATTACAAAAGTAATGTGGCTCCATCCGTGGCAAAACCTCCAAGCTAGTAGCCAAATGGTTTCGCACTTTTAACGCTATGTGGCGCCATCCGTGGCAAAACCTCCAAACTACTAGCCGAATGATTTCGCACTTTTAACGCTAGATGGCGCCATCCGTGGCGAAACCTCCAAACTAGTAGCCAAATGGTTTCGCACTTTTAACGCTAGATGGCGAATCAGATTAATAAAGTGGCACCTTCCGCAGTAAAAAAGCGAAGCTACTAGCCAAATAATCTTACGTTTCAAATACTAAATGGCGACGAAATAAAAATCAGATTAATAGTATGACGTCATCTGCAAAGGAACCCCTAAACTAATAACAAAATTGTTTCGAGTTGCCAGATGGTTTTGAGAACAATGCTCTCGCACCATCTAGCGGTAAAAAATTCCAATTAATCGGCTAATAGCTTGAGCGTATCCCCACGGATGGTGCTGTACCGAGCCCGACAATGTCACGCGAAATTAATTCTATCAATTTCATCAGTAAAAACACTGTAAAATGAATAAAAAATATTCCCTGGAAAATATGTGACCGTCGCTAATGAAATTCTAATACGATCTTTTTGTTCCGGTGTTTATGCGTCGCGCAATGCCGCCGAGTGATTTGAATGCGCGGCCGCGGGCTCCCCTTCGACGGCTATAAATAACTGCACGAATTCGAGGTAAACGAATGATCGGAGCACCGAACGGTGATTCGACCATCGTTCCAAGTTCAAGAGCAACGGACAATAACCTCTGCCCGACGTTTTACAAAAATCTCGGTTATCCGAGCGAACCCAACTGTAATTAACTTTCTAGTCAATCATGGTAGTCGTGCGATAGGATCGTCACGTACCCAGGATAGAGTCACCGTTGAAAAGGTTGCCGAACTGCAACGTTACCCGTCCAGGTGTGAATTTCACGTTGTACTTCGTGATCCTGATGTACGGCACACCGTTCTTCTCGTATTTCTCGCAGTGAATGTCGTTCTGCGTTTTCAGGTCATCTAAAAAAAAAAAAATAGCAGCATTGCAACGAAATCGATAAGAGTCCGCCACCTTCGATCGCCCGGGAAAGAAATACTTACACATGGTGATATTGGATTTTCCGGATCCCTTGACCGGCAACAATAATATCTTCCCGTCGAGCTTGTAGTCGGCCACAAAGTCCACCTGAGGATTGTACGACTCGGACGTCAGCAGGCACTTGTCCCAGTCGATGCTGGAAATGGGAGAGATCATATATATTATATTATAATATTATTATATTATATTATATTATATATTATATATAATATTAATGTAACATATAATATATCATATATTATATTAATTTATAACGTATATCATATGTTATATTAATATAGAATATATAATATATATGTTATATTAATATAGAACATATAATATCTGTTATATTAATATAGAACATACTATATATATTATAANTGTTATATTAATATAGAATATATAATATATATGTTATATTAATATAGAACATATAATATCTGTTATATTAATATAGAATATATAATATATATGTTATATTAATATAGAACATATAATATCTGTTATATTAATATAGAACATACTATATATATTATAAACACATAAAATATATAACATACTATATATATTATAAACATATGAAATATATAACACCAAAAAAGTAAATAAAATTTTTCTAGGCCAACTCAGAGAGAGCATAACAATATGAAGTGTTGTATATTAATATAACATATATAATGTTACACATATATTATATGTTAAATGATTTATGCATAGAAGAATGAACCAACTGGCATTCACAATACTCTCGTTTTACCAGTTTTCTAAACGCAAACAAATCTAAGGTCGCGACAATTATTTCGCGAAATGTCACAGAGCAATTTCCAGCGGCACCTCGCGCGAGTGTAAAAGGGCTCAAACGTTTCCGTTCGCATCGACACATGCGACGCTTTTTATTATTTGATTTGCGTCACCGGGGCCCCGCGATGCATATAATCGCCGCGCGGAAGATTTACGGCGACGACGGCGTCGACGACGACGCATCCCGGCGAATCCCGAGCGTCTTTCGCAAATCGTAAGCGATTGTGCAACCGCGAGGCGCGACTGCATCGCGAATGCCGATGCTCCGCGACTTTTCCGTTCGCTCCGCCGCCACTACACGGGCCATTAATTACTGGACCAACGCGCGAACTTGTCCGTAAAGCGAAGCACGTCTCGCATAATGAATCGTAACTCAAATTACGCCGCCTCGCCTCGCCTCGCCGTGCCTCGCAGCGCGAAAAATATTCGCGACGGAGACAAATCGGTATTTCCCGCGGCGTACTCACTGGTAATTCTTCACGACGAGCTGCTTCGTGAGGCCGTACAGCTTGATGTTTTTGTACTCCTGCCTCAACGAGACCGAGCCCTGCGACTCGCCGATCTTCACGCTGTCCACCGCCAACGGCTCGATCGGCAGGATCTTGAAGGCCTTCATACCTGAAGCAGAGAGAGAAGCATTTTTATCAGTCATATTTAGTCGGTATTTAACTAGTGACGAGGGTGAAGCCCGCCCCGGGTTGTCGGGAGCATTTTCGCGGCACGCGAAACATTGGAACGTCGAGGAAACGCGTGTCGGCTTTCCGCGGCGCCTCGGCAAGCGAAGGGAGGCTAAACGCGACCGCGTCGAGTCAAGGAGAACCTCTGCAAGAATTGCCGCGACCGATTATGTCGGAGAAACCGAGCCGCCGTTCCGAGGAATCCGCCGTTGCTCCGACGAAATCGGCGGAGAAGCCGAAAGTTCTTCGCGAGAAATTCAGACGAGGCGTTTCGAAGGAGAATCGGAAGATTTCCGGGCAATTTGTTCTTCTTCTTCTTCTTCTTCTTATTATTATTACTATTATTATTATTAATATTACTGTTATTACTATTACTATTATTACTATTATTATTATTAATATTACTGTTATTACTATTATTATTATTAATATTACTGTTATTACTATTACTATTATTACTATTATTATTATTAATATTACTGTTATTACTATTATTATTATTAATATTACTGTTATTACTATTACTATTATTACTATTATTATTATTATTATTATTATTAATATTACTATTATTACTATTACTATTATTATTATTACTGTTATTACTATTATTATTATTACTACGATTGTTACTGTATCGCTTATTATTATTAACGTTAATTTCCAAGAAACTTTACTTATTTATTTATTTATTTTTAACCCCCGCCATTCGCGTATATATACGAGGTGTCCCGAAAATGGGAGCGAGGGATTCCCCAGGTCATTTGGAGTAACTTTTTCCTCAGCGAAAATGCAATCCGCGGCTTGGTTTACGAGTTATCAACAAAAAACGCTGACCAATAAGAGGCGAGCGCGACTGGCGCGAGGAGGGAGCTTGCGAAGCCTAGTTCCGCTCATTGGCTCGACCTTCTCGCGTTAGCTGCGCTCGCCTCTCATTCGTCACCGTTTTTCGCTAATAACTCGTAAACAAAGCATCGGAGAAAATTTTTATGAAGGAAAAAGTTGCTTCAAATGGCCTCAGGAATCCCTTGAGCCCACTCAGATCATTTTACATCGTCGACACGCTCGGAAATCGTTATTGAAAAATAAAAGGAGTTTAAAGCGAGGCGAGTCTTGCTAAAATCTCCGATCGGAACAGGAAACGAAACTCTTCCGTTTTATCGCGGCGATGTAACATTGTTTCCCGAGCGATTTAGGAAATGATTCGCTGATCTCTCCGAGTTCGTCCGTCGACGCGGTTCTCTCCTAGCGCGGAAAAAAGTGGAAATGACGGTGAAATCGCGCCGCCGCGTTTCCCCGGCAATTAGTTCGATTGTTCGGATAATTTGCAGAGAACTGCGGTCGAGCGAAATCTCGACGGTGAAACAAAATGTCGGCGGCGCCGCGTACCCTCTGTTTAACAAAGAAGTTTCTCTTTACTTTCCCCTAGGATATCGGCGAGAGACCGACGTTACAGACTAATCAAGATTCGACAATGAATCTTGGAAGCAAATCGAAGCAAACGGAGAACATCGGCGAGCGTTTCGGCAACGCGCGCGAACGGGCGCGGCGGAAAAGCGCGACGACGAGTCGTAGGAGAAGAAATTCTCGTTTCTCAATGAAAAGCGCGTTGCGATCGCGAAAGGGACGGGGATCGGTTAGGTGAACGGTTGCGCAACGCGTTAACGAGCCAAATAATGTGGACTCGTTAGCTTTGTAATCGCGTGATTCCGATCACAATTCGCGCGAACGCTGGCTAAGTCGTACAGTGGCTCGCAAAAGTGACCGTACACCTTTTCAAAAAGAAGTGACTTTCTTAAAAAATATACTAATTAAATTATTTTTAGATGAGAGTGAGAACTAGTCTACTAGACGATGACTAAAATGCTTCTTTTTTCAAATTTTTCTATTACTTGGAATGACGAGAAAGAAAACTTTCATTTCTTAACTTTTTCATCCGAGTTTGTTGGAAAATAGGAAATTTAAAAAATGCCTCTCGTAGATCTCGGTGACTTAAATTATTATAACAAGTAATATAATATAATATAATATAATATGATATAATATAATATAATATAATATAATATAATATAATATAATATAATATAATATAATATAATATAATATAATATAATATAATATAATATAATATAATATATTATAATATAATATAATATAATATAATGTAATATATATAATATAATATAATATAATATAATATAATATAATATATTTTGTCACGACTTTTAGCAAAAGAATTATGTTTTCTCTTTATATTTATTTTGTATAGTTTTATAGTTTATAGTTTATAATTTTTATATAGCCGATGGCAAAGACCATAAAAACGAACCCCAAGAATCGGGGAGAAATTAGCGTAGCTAGTATGAAGGTCGAATAAAATTAAAATAATTAAATTAAATTAATTATAAGGCCCAAAGCAGAAAAATCGGCGGGGCTCTTACCATTGGCCAGAGAGACGACTGCGTCCCTCGCCGAATTCGCGATGCACTGGTAGTACTCGGGGTCCGGCAGCGCTCTGTTGCACACCTTGAAGCTGTCCGCTGAAAAAGGCGAGACGAAAAGGTTAGGAAAAGGAGACGAATAAAAGGGAAAAAGTCGCGCGGCGCGCGGTTACGCAATCCGGCCGCGTTGCAGCATTTTGCAGCCGCGGATCCTGCGAGAACCGCGGCCGCGTGCAAGCCGCGACACCGAGCCCGAAGACTAGGACAATATTGACTTTCTCTTTCGCGTGAGCACGCGCGCGCGCGCGCCGTCTAATAATTATAGTTTCCGATGGATCGGGAGCGCGACGCGATTCTCATCCGCGGACGGTTTATCCCCGTTGACATTGACCTTAATGGTCCCGTAAATCGATCGGGCCCTACCCGGGGCCCGGGCCTCGCGCAGACCCGGCCCAAAAAAGGATTCGAGGGGTCGCGATGGCGCATGCCTGGGCCCGCCGGACCGGTCGCCTTTCACGCCCGTCTCATTGAAGCCGAAAAGCGTGCGGATAATGGGCCCAACTTGAAAAAAAAGAACGCGCGATCGCTCATGGGTAACGAGTTTTCCGCTTTCCTGTCGTGTCGGGCCCCGTGATCGACGCCACCCCAGGAATTCTGTTCGACGACGGACGAAACGGTCTGTCTTCCCCCCGTCGGCCTCGCCGAGTCAGATTCCGAACCGCGCGGAAATGTCAAGGGTCGTTTTCCTAATTGCGGAGGATCGCTGAATCAGTGAATTTCAAGCTGACGCGCGGACAACTTTGACGATAGTGGCGAGCCCTGAACGCGACTAATATGGATTGTTTTGTAAGAATGGCGAGACTGAATTTATTTAAACTTTTTCTATGATTTATATTATAATTGATAAATATTTTTATGTATAAATATTATATTTTAATATACAGTATAATATTAGTATGTTAATATTATAATAATAATAATATATATTATAATAATATTTAACAATATATTAAAATATAATATAGTATTTATATGTTACTGTTTATGTATGGTAAAATGTAACATAATATTTATATATTAATATTATAATGTATGTTAAGATATAATATAATATTTTAATATATTATATTATATATTGTATATATATAAATATTTATATAGCATAATATCAATCACGAAGTTTAAATAAATCCAATCTTGGCACTGTTATAAAACAATCTGTATTGTTAGTCGCTATATTATATTTTAATATATACAATATTAATAAAAAAATATTGTATTATATTTTAGCATATATAATATTAATATATAAATATTGTATTACATATTAATATATACAACACTTTTATGACATCAGGAACGGTGTAAGAAAAAATCGGGAGCCAGTCATTTCGACTGGTTCGGTAGTTCCAGCGTCAACCCCTCTTCCGTATTTCGACAAGTGCGGCACGTCGCGAAAATTTTTACCAATAATTTATCGAGTACAGGCGTTACTCTGTCCTTTAAAATTGGAATAAAATTCGAATCACCTGTCATCAATATTTAAGCATTCGAGTACATTTGGGCACGCGACAGGCATCAACTTTCTCACCCCTCTAAGATATTATTGCAATCGAAAAATTCCTCTCGAGGAATATTCTGCTTTTAAAGAAGTGTCAAAAGAACGCGGTACAGTAAATACTTCTCGATTGTCCCTCAGCTTGTAAACGAAAATGGACAATTTGAGAAGAGGTGACACGATTATTCGAGCCTCCTCTAACAAAAAGTAATAATAAATAAGACTAATAATAATGAGAATAATAAACAATGATAATAATACACGAGTCTAATAATAATGATAATAAACAAGAAATAATAATAATAAATGAGTCTAATAAGAAGAAGGAGACGAAATAATAATAAGAAGAAGAAATAAATCCAATAAGAAGAAGAAGAAGATAAATTGTCCATTTCCGTGCACAATCCGAGCGCGAATTTCGGTAGAATTTACAATATTCGGTGCGACCGATCGCATTTCAAAGTATCGCCGGATTTCAGAAAAATCGGTAAAAGTAAAGTGAACGGAACGAAAGAAAGCAGAGTACTCACGCAATTCGGGGACGGCTGCGCCGGAAATGGCGACGGCGAATGCCACCGTTAGAACTGCGACGGTCTTCATCGTGGCAAGGATGAATAGAATCGGAGCAGGGATCGCTGGTAGCCGGACAGAGGAGCACGGCCGATGAAGAAATAACTTGGGACAGCTGAATGTGAACTGGAAGAAACGGTCATTGATGCAGTCTATTTAAGCGGCGCGACCGCCCCACCATCCGCCGTGTGGGTCTCTTGTGAGTAAACACGCGTGTCCCTTCACACACAGCATTACGCGGGGGAACGACAAAAATCATAAAACAATATGCTAAGCGAGGGCAGCCAGAGCCGCCGCGTGTGAATCACTCGTCTCTCCCGGTTTACCGCTCGAACGGACCGCGGTGGGAAACTCTTCCTTTTCTCGGCTCCGTTCACGGTCGACTGCGAAAAAGTTCACCGTACCCCTTTTGTTCCAACTCGAATTCCTCGATAAAGCATCGACGATCGATGGTCCCCGCGTTCGGCTTCTTTTTTCCGCTCCCGGGGCACTCCGCGGACAACAACAGGCATTATCGTTTATTTTCGACGGGCACGTTCGTTTCGCGGCGCTCCGTTTGCTCTTTTATTCGCCGCCTCTTATTTGCCGCTTTCGCCACGAAAGTTGTATCAGCTTGGCGTCTACGAAATGTCCGATTTTTAAGCGAATATAGAATTGCGTATCTTTTTTACAAAGCTGTGTGTTTAATCAGAATAGGCTCCATTCGCTTAGATATAGTTTTTCCAACGAGATCCGAATAAGCTGCAGAATTTCATACTTTAATTCATTTAATTTCGCAATCGTTTTGAAATGCAACTCTATCAATGGACAGTGCGATTATAAACGAGCTTACGCCAAAAACAAACAATAAATCCGACATTTCATATGCGCCAATCTAATAAAAGTATTTTGCACGACGCCGACGTGGCGACGTTTCATCCGCGCGCCCCCTTTTTCTCAGTTTTTCTCCCCTTTCCTCGGTTTTTCGTCGAGCCGAGCTCCGGCGAACGAGCGTTCGCCGCTTCCTCGCCGATTCCCCGCCGCCGAGACGAGCTCGTTGCAATTATTCCGTAGAAAATCGACCGTAGAACGCGATGAAAGCGACTCGTAAAAGAAGTTCGCGGCCGCTGTCCCGCGAGGAAATTTCCAAACGCCGGCAGAGAAAAGATCGACGAACCTCGGCGGAGGACCAAGGCCGGCGACCTCGAGATAAATCGTTTTCGGTAACGAGATTCCGCGCCGGTTCCGACCTTCCGTCAGCGAAAGATCTCGCTCGATCCGCGGATAGATCGTCGATCTTCCGCGATCTGCTCTTCAATGTCGCCTCGAACGATCCTCGACGAGAGATTCGCGTCGAAACGTGGTCCGTTTTATGAATGCCAGGGACGGATCCAGTCGACGGATGTTTCCACTGTTTTTTGAAACAGGTTCGGACCCGCTGACGGCCACAAAATGTTCCGCTTTTTTATGCGATGCTTCTTCGTTCGGGATTGAAGACTCTCCAGGCGCAGTCGATTCTCTCCAATTGTCCCCCGGCTTGTACAAAAAACGGACAATTTGGGAAGAGGGGATACGATTATTCAACTCCTGCGGCTCGTTTTTTTATAGCTGCTCATGATCGGCGATTCTAGGAACAAGCTCCGAAGATGCGGACTCTCGGACTGCGCGAAAGATTTTCCGCCGGGGCGATCGCTGTCGTGCCAGCAACCTGAAAAATGGGTTTTGAGAAGTCAAAGTAGCAGTTTATTCAAGTAAAATTAAAGCAGTTTATTAAATATATATCTTCATTATTATTTATATCTTTTATATTTATATATTTAGATATATTTATATTTTAGTGTTTTATACTGATTTTATAATATAATATATTTGTATTTTTGTTTATATTTATCTTTTATAGTTTTTACAATTGTTTACAATCGATAAATATAAATATAAAATATATAAATATAAAATAGGCCGCAAAGCTCAAATACATTTTGAGATACTTTACTGTGTAAAGCAGAAAGTGCTTAATATTTTGTGATAATATAATAATAATAATATTGTGATAATAGTAGTATAATAATAAAATGACTGGTTCCTAATATTTTTCTTTTACAGTTCCTAATGTTATGAACATATTTCTAGCAGAAATTTTTAGGCACACTTACAGAAGCATACTTGAAGAAATGTACCTAAAAATTTCTCCTAGAAATCTGTTCATAACGCTTACTAACAGTAAAAGGAAAACATCGGAAACCACTCATTGTATTATTACATTATCACAATACTATTGTTATTGCTGCTGTTTACGAGAGGCTAAGCGCCTTTTTGCCTCTCTTTTTTTTGCGCTTACGTTGCAAAGGAAAAAGACGGCTGCACGTAGTACGAGGACGCTTTATGCGAGGTACGAACGCGTTTGCTACGTTTTCCGTCGTGTTCAATTTTTGACGGTCAGGGACAACGCGAACTGCGTCGACGCGACGCGTTCAGGAACGACCGAGGTTGGCTCGGGGCGTGAATTTTTCTCTAAAGAATTCTTTAATAATTAACGGCAGCGTTTGCTCACAATTTACAACTTTTTTATCTAGCTTCGGGACACTATTTGCACTAACGAGAATTCTGACGTCACCGCGGTGATTGGAATACTAATGAACGGCCATTAGGCACTCTTACCTAATTCCCCGAATTTGTAAATAAAACATGAAGCGCTGGTTTTTCCATCAAAATTTCATTCGCCGCTCTCGCGACGGGGCACATGCGAGGCGATGCGCACGTGGTGATACGCTTTTCCAGGTTCTCGAAATATTTTTTAAACGTTGAAGAGTGTACACGGTGTCCCTGAAAATGAACAAAAAAGATATGAGGAAAATACAGAACTGTTTTCGTCGAGACCTGGTTTTCAAGAAAATCGAGATTGAAAACTCGCTGTTTTCAAGCTCTTTTTTCTTGGAAACTGGAAAAAAAGTCACTGCATGTTTTATTCATGTTCTCTTACGAGGGATCACCCGATTCCCGCTTCTATATACCTTTCAGGGTCACCCGGTATGGTCTTTAACTCGCGCGAATTCTCTTTTGTAATTCCATCGGCTCGAGACGCCCCCTCCAACTTGTAATTTTAGTTTATGATATAGGGAGAAGTTATACAAGGCCGTATTATGATACATTCGCGATACATTCCGCTCGATCGCCGAGTTTTCGGCCAAAAATCCGTGCGCTACCGCGGTGGAAAATCCAAGAATTGTTTTTGCACAAATCTGGGCCGCTTCGGACGAATATTTCCATACCTTATGACGCTCGAATACTATTCTTTATTGGCCGTTCGCCAACGTCACGGTATAATCGAAAAAAAAAAACGGCGCGTGACCTTGATCTTAGAGCGACTTTGACGCGACGTCCGGGTTTTTGCATCAGAAATGCAGANATAATAATAATAATATTGTGATAATAGTAGTATAATAATAAAATGACTGGTTCCTAATATTTTTCTTTTACAGTTCCTAATGTTATGAACATATTTCTAGCAGAAATTTTTAGGCACACTTACAGAAGCATACTTGAAGAAATGTACCTAAAAATTTCTCCTAGAAATCTGTTCATAACGCTTACTAACAGTAAAAGGAAAACATCGGAAACCACTCATTGTATTATTACATTATCACAATACTATTGTTATTGCTGCTGTTTACGAGAGGCTAAGCGCCTTTTTGCCTCTCTTTTTTTTGCGCTTACGTTGCAAAGGAAAAAGACGGCTGCACGTAGTACGAGGACGCTTTATGCGAGGTACGAACGCGTTTGCTACGTTTTCCGTCGTGTTCAATTTTTGACGGTCAGGGACAACGCGAACTGCGTCGACGCGACGCGTTCAGGAACGACCGAGGTTGGCTCGGGGCGTGAATTTTTCTCTAAAGAATTCTTTAATAATTAACGGCAGCGTTTGCTCACAATTTACAACTTTTTTATCTAGCTTCGGGACACTATTTGCACTAACGAGAATTCTGACGTCACCGCGGTGATTGGAATACTAATGAACGGCCATTAGGCACTCTTACCTAATTCCCCGAATTTGTAAATAAAACATGAAGCGCTGGTTTTTCCATCAAAATTTCATTCGCCGCTCTCGCGACGGGGCACATGCGAGGCGATGCGCACGTGGTGATACGCTTTTCCAGGTTCTCGAAATATTTTTTAAACGTTGAAGAGTGTACACGGTGTCCCTGAAAATGAACAAAAAAGATATGAGGAAAATACAGAACTGTTTTCGTCGAGACCTGGTTTTCAAGAAAATCGAGATTGAAAACTCGCTGTTTTCAAGCTCTTTTTTCTTGGAAACTGGAAAAAAAGTCACTGCATGTTTTATTCATGTTCTCTTACGAGGGATCACCCGATTCCCGCTTCTATATACCTTTCAGGGTCACCCGGTATGGTCTTTAACTCGCGCGAATTCTCTTTTGTAATTCCATCGGCTCGAGACGCCCCCTCCAACTTGTAATTTTAGTTTATGATATAGGGAGAAGTTATACAAGGCCGTATTATGATACATTCGCGATACATTCCGCTCGATCGCCGAGTTTTCGGCCAAAAATCCGTGCGCTACCGCGGTGGAAAATCCAAGAATTGTTTTTGCACAAATCTGGGCCGCTTCGGACGAATATTTCCATACCTTATGACGCTCGAATACTATTCTTTATTGGCCGTTCGCCAACGTCACGGTATAATCGAAAAAAAAAAACGGCGCGTGACCTTGATCTTAGAGCGACTTTGACGCGACGTCCGGGTTTTTGCATCAGAAATGCAGACATTCGGGCGAATTCTGTGCCGGACAGCTTCTTTCGTTGTACGAAACGCAGAAAACGCTTGAGACCGATTGACATAAGCTGTTGGAATCGAAGCCTCGCAACCGAATACAGTAAATTCTCCCTAATTGACACTCGGATTGTGCATACAAATGGACAATTTTGGAAGAGGAGGTACGATTTGTTATATTTTTTATAATTTTATATTGTACAATGTGGATTTATATTTATATTATATTTTACATTTGTTACGTATATAAAATTATACTATAATATGCTATATGATATACTGTTTTTATAGCTATAAAAATAATTTAACTATAATAGTGTAATAATAGTGCATCATATAATAATATATAATATAATATAATATAATGTAATATAATATATAATATATAATAATAATAGTACGAGTTTGAATAATAATTATCCTCTTCCCAAATTGTCCATTGTTGTCTGAGCCTCAATTAAGGAGAATTTACTGCATTATGTTGCAAACTTGCATACAAAAAATTGTTCCAACACATGCACCGCGGGTCTTTAGAATGAGAAATTCCACGTACCCTTTTTTTACATAATAACATTAATAAATTTGTTACATAATCGAAACGTGTCACCGGTCATCGACACGAAGGACCATTGAATCGCAGGAGGTCAATGTAGGTCAACGCTTTCCTCTCTCTCTCTCTTGGAAGGCGAGAAGCGAATCGCGAAAATGGTAACTGGGAAATTACCTGGGACGATTACGGTTTCTCTAGATCCAGTTCGAGCAACGACCGTCTCCGTTTTCCAAAATGGAGATGTCGCATTATCTCCGAAGAGGATCGCGCGCGCTGGTTTCAGATGAGCAAGCGATTCGTGGTCTTGGCACGAGATAGAGCGGAACGCGATCCATCACAGAAGCTTCTCTTAATTGTTAACATTTCCTGCTGGAAGTCGAAAAACAGGTTTATTTATCGCGAGCAATGTAACGCGTTGAAATGTAAAGTGCTTCCCGCGTACGTGTTGACAAGGGCACCTATCGACCTCCAAGATCTTAACAGCGTCCGAGTAAAAGTGACAAAATTCAGGTTGAACGTTGCCGACGACCAGTCCTCAGCCTTGGTCCTACGGTCTTCTTGGTCCGTTGCCCTCCTGGGTCCCTTCTCTTCGCCTTTGCCCGCGGTACCCTTCCGCGGTAACAATTCGTCACCGAGATCCTCCACGCACAATTAACAGGCACGATCCGGAAGCCTTCGTTTAACAAAATAACAGACAATCATGTATTCTCGGGTAATTATTCGCAACGACTCGCCGATCTTTCGGCCTATCGACTCGCTCGTCAATGAAAGATTAACACTCGATTGATTGAACACTCGATGTCGGCGAAATCGCCTGACACGTTAATGGTTTTCTTAAATGAAAAATACTGCTATCGAGCATTGAATCTGACAAGAATGATTCACAGGGAAGTAAACACTTGCACGCTTAATTTATGCAACGGCGCATGTTCGCGGACATCGTTGGGTCCGACTATTTCTTGTCGGCATAAAATTAAACCGGAAGCTGCAGGCGATCCTCGTCACTCGCTCGGCTCCGTGGTTTTCCCAGGTTCCAAAGTATGTATTTCTCCATTGTCGAAGCAACTCCTATCGCCGCGGTTTCTCAATTCATTCTCCATCGCCGTGGCAACGCCAGTTTCATCGACGCCACGATCGATTTTTAACGAGCCAATGCCGACGAGGTTCGATGATCCGTCGGCGATCGCTTAATTGTCCGTGATGCCATCGCCGCTCATTGAAATGACCGTCGTGTCGTTGCGCAAGAACCGACCGGCGATCAACGTTTCAACAATGTCTCTCTGTTTACGCCTGTTGAAACGCTTCGCGGTCTTGTCGTGCCTCGCGACCCGAGAAAATCGCCGAAAGAAATGACGCACGGAACTCGCAGCGACAGCCGTGTATTTAATTAACGCTTCTCGATGCACGGTGATATGCAAATTGCAGTCTTCTGCCTCTTTTATTTATAGATCCGAGCTTGATTTCGTTGGAGATCGCGGGACCATCAGGGTCGCGACGAACGGTCCCGTAATTGTCGATGACATCGATTGGACTAGGCAGACAGACATTCGAATCATTGCCGGCATTTTTTTACGGTGCGAGGGGTTTAACCCTTTCACGGGCACAGTATGAATTTTCAAGAATATTTCGATTCGGTAGGAGTTTTCATCGGTGGGAATGCTTGAGCCCGGTTGGTCCATATGTGGGGCGCTAAAAGTGGGTGGGGAGCATAGTTCTCAGTGCCTATGAAAGGGTTGAATACGTTTTAGTCGATCAAGAGAAACCAGTTACCCTGCGTCGATTCAGAGAGGAGCACGGAAGGACAGCCGTTTTATGCAACATAGACCCGTTTTCCTTGGTTCCATGTCGAGCAGCCTATTCAAACAAAAACTAAACCATTAAATTCGCAATCGAGACACTTAAGATCCTTGGCAGCGAGCATACCGATCTTTGTTCGCCGTTTTTTAAGTCGCGTAGAAAATCGAACACACCTGTTCATTGATTCGTCTATACACGATTTTATTTCAATCATTATCCAGGATTTAAAGTGCTATAAATGTGTGCGTGTGAAGTCCGTAATTATTTGATTAATCATGCTTCATCAAGGCAGTCGTTTTTGGTACTTCAAAGCCAGGCTGTTCAACGGCGGTCTCATCCTCGTGACGCCAAGGTCGATGGCGTGGCCAGTCAAAGGACAAGACTGGCAGCGCTTCTTCTTGTTGCCGTTGGTCTTGTCCTGGCGGACGATGTAGCGTGGAAAATAATGGATTCGTTTCCTCTGTAGCGTCGCGCAGGCCGGCATTGTCACGACTAGGTCCTTCTTGTGGATAGTCTTGCATGGTTCGGGAAACAGCCGATCGTTCAGCAGGTACTGTTCCAAGGAGCCCGAGGATTTTGACGAATGCAGCGTGTGGCTGGAGCCGTGTGTGTCGAAGTAGTTCTGTTCGCGGAATTTCCTCAGCTCCCTTAGTTCGTTGTCCGAGATGTTCTTTTCATTGCTTCCAACCTGATCCAAATTGCTGACGCATACGGTGTGCTGATAATCTTCGGAGTCAATATCGTTTTTGCTCCTAATACTCTTGTCTCGCTGATGCGCTTGGCAGTTGTGGCAACAGTGACACACCTTGCCAAGCGACTGGGCCAACGATTTGCACCTCGCTGAATCTTTTGGACTAGATTTCGTTTTACTCGAGTCAGGTACAGGCTTCTTAGAAGTTAACGTCTTTTTGGTTATATGTTCCCTCGACTGCTTCGGGGTCTTTTGTTCTTCGCCGCTGGTGTCTATCGACCTTGCCAAGGTTGTCTCAATTTGTGATTTCTTAGCTTCAGGCTGGTCTCTGCGGTGACAGGACGACCTGGTACACGTCCCAGGACCGTCTCCCGATTGTAGCAGGCAGACCTTGCTCTGCACATTGCGCAGAAACTGCGACTTAGGAGCATAGTCTATCCTCTGCACCCTTCTCAAGGTCTCGCAACTGATCGGAGGACTCGCGAGCGATCTTCTCGGGCTGTCTCTGACAATTGCTGGCTTGAATTCTATATGGCTTTTACAATATTTGCAGCCTGGGTCTGGTTTCCGCTGAGTCCTCGTGGACCTCGGCTGGATCTTCTTCACCTCATGATTGCAGTAACATTCTCTCACAGGCTTTCTGTGCACATTTTTCAGGCAATGTTGCGACTCGGAATGTTTCTTCGATGATATCACTACTCTTCTAGTTACTGCTAAATTAGGCATCGATGCAGATGATTGATCAGAGCTGTCTGTGCTATAGTCTAGACACAAAGCTCCACCAACGCCGCTTGAATCATTTCTCAGTTGCCACGATTTGATATTTTGTTTGACACACGAGGACCTTCTGTTGCCTGTGCAATGATCTTCTCTTGATGCTCTATAAATGAAGAAGATACAGTGCTACAAGTGCTTAGTATTCACCGAGTACTCATAGTACTCACAATGCCTGTGAGTACAATTTTTTATATTCTTCTTTAACCCTCTTTGAGTCCTGTTCTACCCGAGCCAGCAGAAGTCTGCTTCTTTTACGCAATTGATCTATGCATTCGTTGAAGCTTTGCTCCATACGACCATGTACATTCACCTATTGATAAAAAGATCTTTCAGCAAGGAGACTTAAAGGTTGAATTTAATCTGAGATAGATGATTCAGTTTGGATCAGGAAATGAGATCTGTATCAACCTTGGATTGCCTCCGGGAGTACCTGTTTAATTAATCATACAATCAGACGCTGATTAATTAATCAGGTCATTTGTAGTATCAATCTGGACTATGGACAATGGGTGCAGAATAGTAGGTGTTGGATTCAGAACTAGGAAACTATGAAATAAATCAATAAAGTTGAATACCCTTGTTAACAATGCTCGATGTCATTCACTGACAATTCTTCGAATATTATTAACCATTCTTTAATTGCTCCCAAACATCGGACTTTCTTCAAACGGCTCCAAAAATCTCCCAGCGGAATGTTTATTTTTCTACCAGCGTCTACAGTCTACATAGAGATGCTTCCTCAGTGCTTACAGTGACACCCCTTGTAGTTTCATTCTTTACCACTACAAATTAACGACAATCGATAAGATAGGACACAGCAACAAAAATACATAGACCGCCTAATCTATGTCCAAATTTAATCTATGCTGCAACGAGCGCCCGCTACAATTCATAAACAGAAAGACGTTAATCAGGCTGGCCACCATGATGGAACGACCTTTTTCTCTCTCGAGTGTTTTTTCAAATTAATTAAAAGAAAATCGTTGTCTTTTCAATAACGAGATCGAAATAACGAACACCGTTCTATAAAGGAAGCATATAGAAGTAGTTTAAGAGAATTTTGAAAGGATTACTCACCAGCATTTCGTGGAAGGTAAATGCAATACATCTAAGATGGTGTTTTAGCGCGGTCATGTTGGAGTAATACGTAGGACGCGGCGTTCGTTACGATGTTCTATCGGCGGAGAAGTGTTTTTTAATTTGATTAACGGTCTCGTGGGTTTCGTGCCTATACTTCGTTGGAAAAGCAACTTGCAGTTTCGAGCGTCGAGAAAATTATGAATCGGAACACGTGATTGTGGAAGGTCGGTCTGCACCACTCGGTGGACGATTGCAAGAGGTTATAAACGCTCGCATGTTTTAATCCCGGAGACGCTCACCATTCCGCGGCGAAATGGATTTCTCCGGGAACAACGTCCTCCAGGGAATTCTCCCCCAATTTGCAGAATTAACGTCTGGCTCGAATCCGGATTCCGCTCCGAAATTCACCGGCGGCGATAACATTCACGACGAGCAAATCACTATTTACACCACCACTGCCGGACAGAGTCATCAAAAGCAGAATTTATTGGTGAGGGTTGCCCGAAATTACTCTGATTTCTTGTCTCTTTTATCAAACCCCCAAAGCTTTATTTGTTTCTTATAAAATTGAGGATTAACAATTTTAGAGGTTCCCAGCCTGACACTCTGATTGTTAATTTTAGAAATTTTTTTTAAAGGAGCCTAGTTATAGGGGTTTCTATGTTATGTCTTTAAATTTTAGGTGAACTCGACGAACAAGTACAGTGGACCAATAATAGCATGGCCGGACCCTAATAGTCTGATGCAGTTCTGCGAAAAGCAAGGCATTCAGACGATCAATATTCCTAATTATAATCAAAACAATTCGATTATAGGAGTTCAGTCCAATAGTCTGCCTGTGAGAATCATACCTAACTTGTATTTACCTTCTACCTCTCAGCCAGAGAATATTAAAACGGAACTACAGACGAGGATTGAAACAGAGATCAAGAACTCTACCATGGTACTATATTATTTGCCAGATATGTATGGTACATTTGCAACTTTGTATTAAACAAGCGATGTGATGATTTCAGCAAGAATCTCAAGTTCAACTTCAGCAACAAAACACCATGGCTGAGTATTTTCAGAAGTTACAGGCTACCACTCTTCCACTCACGTTGCAACAGTTAATTAAATTGCAAACGGAGCAGACTAAAAAAGAAAAGCTTGAGGAGGAAAAAACGGAGCACACGCAGAATAATATTTTGAATATTCCCAGCGTTCCAGTTTTCAGAAACAATCAGCTGCAGAATGGTAATAACTTTATGAGCTCTGATCAGATCATATCAATCAGTCCGAACGATCTGAACGTGCACGTGGATAACCATCAGGAGAATGAGAACACCGTGCAGTGCCTAAAAGTGGAGCAACAGGTTCAGACGGATTCTCCTAAGACCGAGAAGAAGATGAAGTTCAGAGCCAAAACCGGAGAGATCAAGATCAGCGTCGGGCTGGATGGATCGACTTTTTATTGTTGTCCCGAGTGCAACCTTGCATTTCAGGACAAGGCGGAAATAGAACAACATATCCAGGCTCATATACAAGTGTGTGCCATATTTTTCTTTCTTCGACTTTCTTGAAATAACTACAGTTTTTTGATACAAGCTATTCGTTTACAGGAACGCAAGTATCAATGCAAAGAGTGCGGCGCAATGTTGAAGAGAAAAGAGCACCTCGACCAACACATGCGCGGCCACTCGGACGAAAGGCCATTTAAATGTCCTGTTTGCCAAAAAGCGTTCAAAAGGAACGAACACCTGACGCGACATTACGTTATCCACTCGGGCGATAAGAATTTCACCTGCTCGGTGTGCCAGAAGGCATTCTCGCGGAAGGATCACCTGAACAAACATACTCAAACGCATTTAGGGATGAGAAAGAATCGAACGAAGAAGGATTCCTTCTTCGTGGAACAGAAGGAGGCTTTCGAGAAATCGAACGATGCCAGCATGATGCCTAAGCAGGAGGTGACCTTGGTTCTAAAGGATGGACTCATGAAGCAGGAGCCAAACTTCCTGCAGTACATTCAGAACTTGCAGAAGGATCAACATCTGATACACACGTTCTCCTCGTTTAAAGAACAGGCGATGAAAGAGGCGAATGGCCTGCAGCAACAGGCGGTCAATATGAATGATATCCTGCCTCAGAACACAAGGTACTTAATGCCATCCTAGTCGTAAGTCGAACCGATTTAAGTCCAAAGCAATAAAGGCTGTTTACGAAGTGTGTCGAGAAATTAGCACAAATAGAAAATTCGTTAGACACATTAGGAATTGAAGAATACCCTAGGACTCGGAAAAGAAACATTTTTTTTTAGGGACTGCAGCACCGAGACTGGTGCGGTTAAAAGAATTCACATTGGCGTAGGTTGACGGAAAATTTGTAAATAGAAATGGCGTTTGGTCCATTTTTACCCCCGCGGGGAGAAACTATTGCCATGATATTTTACAATTCTTCGGACAATTAGTATTCCGTGAACAGTACCTAAAAATTTGTATTCTTAGACGGATGCACGCTGAAGTAACAGCTATAAACTGTGTAGCTAAGTTCCATTACTTGCATGAGATTCACACTCGACCGCTTAATACTTTACTTACCGGCAGTTATCGCGAATAAGTTCCGAACGATTCTTTTATAAACCGTTCGAGAACCATCAAAATTTAATTGGTAAAACAACGAATTATCCGAGAAGAATCTCGACGGGATTCCGGTAGTTAAAGTGTTAAGTCGGACCCGGTACTTGCGCGAAAGGGGAATGAGATCATCTTGTATAAATGCACATCCTCCGTTTTATTTAAACTAGCGTTAAAGAAAATAGTTTCTTTGCTGATTCTAGTCTACGGTCGCAACAACTATGATCAAACATAGGGGTCTCCAGCCGGATTCGCGAATCCGTCGTGGACCGCGTTCACTTCGAACGAAAAAACACTTAAAGCCAATCTGCCATTAGGATAACAACATTCTCGAACCGAGTACCAATAGCAAATAATAGCATACTGCCGATTATCGTCGTTATACAGTTTGTAGAGAGTAATTATGTATATAAATAAGATACAAATTTTACCTGAAAGAGACTCGGTAGGTACGTTGTTTGAACTTGATCTCTGATTCGTCCGTGTTCATCAATTAGCAAGAGAAGCGTTAGCGCGTGTTTTTAGCGAAAGCGTTCGCCCTCGCTCGTCGTATTTTTAAATTATTAATATAGCGTTCTCTCCTTGTTCGTTTTCAGTATTTCCACTCCCTCGTACACTTCCTCTTTCTTTTTTTCTCTTCCATTATTTTTTGTTTCATTCCTTCGCCGTTCCCCTTTTAAGGCAAAAGCAATAGGAGTCTTTCCAATTGCCAAAGCGAGTTTCTCGATCATTGTTCTCCCCAGCAATTTTCATCCACTCGTAATCTTATCATTTGTAACCAAAGTTTGAAGAAACGTGATTGCTCGCGGTGCTCGAGGTTTAACCAAAGAATATTTGACAAGCTTCTTCGTTTCGAATATGTTTGGTTAAATAATCCTTTTATAATATATTTCCCTTTTTTATATAGTTAGGTCTCTCTTCGCCAAGAGTTCCCATTACTTTTGCAATTCCTCTTCTTTCGTGTCCTAGCTTCTCTAGATTTATGCATGAAGCAGTTCGACTTATCGTTGGCCTTTGCGAATCAGTCTCAAACATTTTATGATATATATATATATATATATATATATATATATATACATATATGTACAATATAATATTATGATATAACATGTGATATAATATACAATGTAATGTACATCATGATATTATATGTATATATTATTTATAGATAGATAGATATGTACACTTCCCTCCAAAAGTACACCTACAGAAAATTAAACTTGGTTCCATGCATTTTGTACTATGTTCCACGTATTAAGAGAACATATTAGGAATCGATGCGTAACGTAGCGAGCGAAGGGCGTATGAAACGTGTCCTGGATTTAATTTTAAGGGACAGGATGCGATAAGCAAAGTAAGCTAATTGCCATAATATCCTAATACTTTTAGCGGGGTGTGTATCTGGAACGATGAAATTTGCTCAAAATTCATTTTAGTAGTGAAATCGGTGATCCTTTTCGTTGATGGAAACGCGAAGCGGCGTTCGGATCACGAGAGAGGACCGACAGAGCCGTAGAATAAAGTGGCTTCGCCGTTAGCTTTACTGAAGAATCTTTAAAAAAAAAAACGCTGTAGACTCTAACACTATTAGGTGAACTTTAGAACAAATGGCGCTAAAACGAGACACGAGGGCCACGTTTTAATAGAACCAAAGACTTTGAATTTACGAGGCATAGCAGTATTTTATCTCTTCCTAAAACTTCTTTCGATTTCTCGGTTCCCGTAACCCAGGCCACAACGAATCTCGTTTCTTCCCTCTTCTTTCCCTCCTCTTCTCTTCTCTTCTCTTCTCTCTCTTTCTCTCCGTCACCTGGGTTAAGGGAACGGCATTTACCTTCTCGATAATGTTAATGAATTACAGTTGTAAGATTTCGATGCTCACCGCGGTGGCCATCACATGTAATGCGATACAATGATAAAAGTATTTTAACAATGAACTTGCATTTACAATAAGGTGTTACTCGACGACGGAACGATTGTTATTGTATGATAAACAATGATTGCCAAAAAAGAAAATGAAAAATAAGAGAAAAAACGTGATGATGATTAAAGAAAATGGTAACACATGTATTTTTCAGACCAAGATATTTTTGAATAAAATAAGTGTAAAGAATCGGTGTGCTTCTCTCTACTTCGACGACCAATTTAGACTGAGGATTTTATGCGTTTCTCGAGAAGAGCACGATCGCAATCTCGCACGGAACAGGAATTTGATTCGGCGTTGTTCCCTCCCTTCTTTCGCAATCGACGCAGAAAATCGTTTCCTTGCGTAAAGATCCGCAGTCTGGCGAAACACTCGATCCCCCCTGATCCTTAGGAAGATAAGATTCGCTCTGAAATCCTAGATATATCCTGGCAAAGAAACACGGTCTTCGAAATATACCCAAAGGGTTGTCAAGTCAACGTGACTTGTTTAGCATTTCTTATAATCGTTGCTCATTTTCGGTATATTTTNTATATATATATATATATATATATATATATATATATATATATATACATATATGTACAATATAATATTATGATATAACATGTGATATAATATACAATGTAATGTACATCATGATATTATATGTATATATTATTTATAGATAGATAGATATGTACACTTCCCTCCAAAAGTACACCTACAGAAAATTAAACTTGGTTCCATGCATTTTGTACTATGTTCCACGTATTAAGAGAACATATTAGGAATCGATGCGTAACGTAGCGAGCGAAGGGCGTATGAAACGTGTCCTGGATTTAATTTTAAGGGACAGGATGCGATAAGCAAAGTAAGCTAATTGCCATAATATCCTAATACTTTTAGCGGGGTGTGTATCTGGAACGATGAAATTTGCTCAAAATTCATTTTAGTAGTGAAATCGGTGATCCTTTTCGTTGATGGAAACGCGAAGCGGCGTTCGGATCACGAGAGAGGACCGACAGAGCCGTAGAATAAAGTGGCTTCGCCGTTAGCTTTACTGAAGAATCTTTAAAAAAAAAAACGCTGTAGACTCTAACACTATTAGGTGAACTTTAGAACAAATGGCGCTAAAACGAGACACGAGGGCCACGTTTTAATAGAACCAAAGACTTTGAATTTACGAGGCATAGCAGTATTTTATCTCTTCCTAAAACTTCTTTCGATTTCTCGGTTCCCGTAACCCAGGCCACAACGAATCTCGTTTCTTCCCTCTTCTTTCCCTCCTCTTCTCTTCTCTTCTCTTCTCTCTCTTTCTCTCCGTCACCTGGGTTAAGGGAACGGCATTTACCTTCTCGATAATGTTAATGAATTACAGTTGTAAGATTTCGATGCTCACCGCGGTGGCCATCACATGTAATGCGATACAATGATAAAAGTATTTTAACAATGAACTTGCATTTACAATAAGGTGTTACTCGACGACGGAACGATTGTTATTGTATGATAAACAATGATTGCCAAAAAAGAAAATGAAAAATAAGAGAAAAAACGTGATGATGATTAAAGAAAATGGTAACACATGTATTTTTCAGACCAAGATATTTTTGAATAAAATAAGTGTAAAGAATCGGTGTGCTTCTCTCTACTTCGACGACCAATTTAGACTGAGGATTTTATGCGTTTCTCGAGAAGAGCACGATCGCAATCTCGCACGGAACAGGAATTTGATTCGGCGTTGTTCCCTCCCTTCTTTCGCAATCGACGCAGAAAATCGTTTCCTTGCGTAAAGATCCGCAGTCTGGCGAAACACTCGATCCCCCCTGATCCTTAGGAAGATAAGATTCGCTCTGAAATCCTAGATATATCCTGGCAAAGAAACACGGTCTTCGAAATATACCCAAAGGGTTGTCAAGTCAACGTGACTTGTTTAGCATTTCTTATAATCGTTGCTCATTTTCGGTATATTTTGTTTCCTAATATTTTGTGCGACTTTTTCTAAAATATGCAAATAATTTTGTGGAATAGTTCTCTTTTTTCTTTGTCGTTTTTTTTACCTCTGTATACCGAGATGAGTCATTTCAACCCCCGGGGAGCCTAGGCGAACTTGTGATTTTACAAGTTTCTCATATTACTTTTTGTACTTTTGTACAGTTTGAATACATTTCTAGAACTCCAAATATATTTTCGTACATCTATATTGTACAAAATCACCATAAGAGACGCGTTATATTTGCTTAGATTTTTCATTCTTCTTTTACTTTCTTTACATCTGTCTCACGTGTTCATAAAAGCACGGATGTGCTCTTACCACGTACAAAAGTAAGCACTGTATAATAATAAAAATATATAAATAAAAAAACGCTGTTATCGAGACACAAGTCTGTTAAAGACTGCGTTTATAGTCGTCGTCGGCAAAGGTTCGGTTCAAAAGTCGATAAAGCATCGGTCAAGGTGTACATTGTATATTTCCCGTAGAAAATCCGCGACTGTTCCGGCCGTCCTCCCACTCGTTGGCAAATTACAATCAATTATTCGGTGTCGTGGCGTTGCTATAAATAGCTCGGGCGAGCTTCGAATAGACTTCATAAGTAATACCCAGGAGCGATCCGAGCCAATAGACGAGGTGTCTGCTAATCGTGGCGGGGAATTGTAGACCGGGTCTCGGGGTGATGAATTCCACCTCGGTCTTCTTGTCCCCTTCCTCATCGTCCAATTCGAGCGGTCCCAGAGGTTCCAGCTGGTCCAGGGGTTGAATATCGTTCGCACAATCGTCCATCAAACGGAAAACGTGCTCGGTCTGCCGATGCTTCTCGGGCATTTCGGGCTTCTTCGTTCGCTCCTCCTCGGACATCCGGTTCGACCAGATCGCTTTCAACGCGTCCACGTCGAGGTCTTGCCCGTTCTTCGCTAAGATCCTCTCCACGTTACCGGTGTCCTCCGGCTTTCGGAACACGAAGTCGTACGTGGCCCGCAATTTTCCCAAAAACCGATCCAACGGCTTCGTCTCGTTGCCGGATGGTTGATGCTGATCCACCGACTCCTGGACCGGAAACAGCTTTGTTATCTGCGGCTTCGATCGCACGGTGTCCACGGAGAGCTGCTGAAACACGCGGATTTCCGTTCGTTATAGAAATTGGCGTCGTCGGGCTTCGTTCGTGGATAATGCGAGAGCCGAAGGGCGGCCGCTCGACGTCAGAAATTAGGTCGCGTGGCTCGTCGAGCCAACCCTTTGCCTCCGGGGAACCGACTTCAACGTTTGATAGATTAATTACGGTCCCCGAGAGCCCGGTTCATCACCGGCTGTTTTGCGTACGCGTGTATGTTCGGAGGGAGTAGGGTTAGCGGAGCCGGTTACTGTGCCTTCGGTTCGTTTTCCGGCGTGATTAATCTCATATTTATCGAAAAAGACGTATTGCATTTTCTTCGTTGAAAGATGAAACAGATTTATAACATGTTTCTGTTAGAAAAGAAACAATGTTAATACGTTTCGATTGAAAAATACATTCAGGGTGCTCTTGTTGAAAAGATAAATAAATGTAGTATGTTTTTATTCGAAAAGTATTCTTGCCTGCTAAAATGTTATTCTTTTGGTTTGTTTATCTGGAAGTGAAATAAATCTCGCGATAACTGCCTCGACTTTGCTGCGACAATTTTGTATGCGGCTGTGTGAGAGAGAACGACAAAACGACGACACTTCGACAGTGAGTTAGCCGATTTCAATAGTTTCGAGATGCAGTGTCTGGAGGCTCGTCATCCGATGTCTTCTGATGTTCTCCTCGGAGAGCTCCGTTCCGGGTAAGTGTCCCAGATACATTCTCTATTAATCGGCGACCATTTGACACCGCGTCGATCGGGCTATGCATTAAATTCAACCAAATTATATCGCGATCAGGGAAGTCTAACGGCACTGCGGCGATGCCACAAACGACGATATAATTAATTAAACGGCCGCGAGAGACGCTTCGAAATCCCTCGCTTGCCTATCCTAATACAGGTAACCCTATTACGACACGGTAAATAGGTTCCTAGAAAATGCCGTGTTGTGTGGAACCGTGTCACAGGAGAGCCAGCTTTTAATTTACTAGATTACGGATTTACAGCTAGATAATTTACCATGTTGAGATTAAATATGTGACAAACATGTGACACCAAATGTGTTGTGTAAAAACGACGACTGAATTTGTATGTGTTCTCACATCGTTAAAGAAATTGTGTGTACAGTCTATAAGATTAAATAACTCTTGTAAAATTGGACCGTACGACTTGCACATTTTTTCCGGCGTTAGAAAGACTAGCTTACAATAAATAAAAAAGTTCTTCAAAAGTAGCAATTGTTTGTCGTGACCAAAAGAAAAGAAAAATAGAAAAATGATGTATTTTAGCTTTTTAATTCGAGCTTGCAACAAAGATTTATTCATTTATTTAGCATAAACAGGTGAATCGAACGAACAAATAAACACATAAACATTGCGATGTGTAGATCTCCCTAATCTTTACGCACGAAAGATGCCGAAAATCGTGTCTCTGTTTCATATTAATCGCAATTTCCGCAAAAATTGTTGCCCGATCTTTCTAAAACCACCCCCAAAAAAATCCAAGCCGTCCGGTTCACTTTCGAAAGAGTTGTTTCGCTTTAAATATTGTACCCAGATTTATGTATCGCGTGTTTCGATCGTAATCGGAGAAAGAAATAATTAACGGTCGCCGGCACTTACGCATAGAAGCCATATCGCCAGAAAACGGGCGTCCATGTGAGACAGATCGGCGTCGCTTATTCCTTTCGATCGCGGCAGAAACGAACGACTGAAGGACCGATTGATTTCAAAATCCATTTATACCATGGCCGTTCAGCGGCGTAAAACCGCGACGCGGTCCGTCCGACTGTCCGCGCATCCCCATTGTTTTTGGTCTACGGGCTACGCCTTTGGCCGTATCGGCGAACCATTGACACAGAATTGCTCAACGATATCGCTATTCCGGGCACGTAGCGTTGCTCCGTGGCCAGCAGTGTCCACCGGTGACGTCCCAGCAATAAACAATATCGCCTCCGGTTCGGTTGACGGGTCAAGGCGGATCGCTGAAATTCGCGGAATTTCGGTGAACGCGCGCGCGCGCGCGAGCGGAAACCCTTTGCGACCGATATATTCGGAGTCTGCTCGCAATATCCGTCTCGTTCGACCGTAATCGATGGTCGGCACACGATCCGAACGATCCCGTATTCGACGTTCGAACGCGCGCGCGCCTCTCGTGAATCAGCCTCTCTCTCCCATTGTATTCGTAATCGATGCTCGAGGCTCGAGTTGCGGTTAAATGAATCAACCGGTTGATCGCAGGAATCATTTTATTAGGCGGTAATCGTACATGCACGGCGTCCGTCGCACGCATTGGCGTGGGTCGGCACTCGGTTCGGCAGCCACTCCGTCGACGTTTCTCCCGGGGTCGGGAGACCGTCGATCGGTTAGGGGGAGTATCTGAGGGGTAACAGAGGCCTGAGCTCCCTGCTGAGGGTGCTAGACGGGTCGTCCAAGTCCCTGATGGCCTGTCTGGTCCTCGTTCTCGCGTCATCTCGCGTGAGCTCGTTCCGCTCCAAGACCTTGTCCAAGATCTTCTTCAATTGCGGCGCCACGCCGCCTTCCGCGAACGTCTCCAGGGTGTTCAGCACCTCGTCCGAGTAGCCGGTGTACTTGCCGAACCCTTGTTTCCTCGCGTCCTTGCTCAACGAGTCGTAGAGGTTCGCCAGCTGCTGAAGAGTCGCGCTCGGCGGCACTTTCGCGCGCCTTAAGTAGCTGGTTAGGCTCGGCCTTGGCACTTGCGTCACCCTCTCGCCCAGCCGCGTGAACCTACAAAAGAATCTCGTCTTTACGAACGAACCTTGCCGCCTGCCCGATCGATCCTGCTCGCGTATCCTTCTCGGAAACGAGCATTCCTTCGGCCCGCGTCGCGGTTTGACGGCCGTTTTCCAGCGGAAGACCAGTTTTCGTTCGCCCCCCTCTCACCTGTTCTCGTCATCCTCGTCCTCCAAGATCTCCAGCTTCTCCGCGGAGGCAGGCAGGAAGCCCTTCGACTCCCCGATCGGCAGATCCAGGAGGCCCGAAGCCGTGGGCTTCACGATCTCGTACACTTCTTGCACCACGCTGTCGATCGTTGGCACTTTCTTCGTCTGCTCGATGGACCCCGGCTTCGAGGACGTTCCAGAGACGTCGATCGACCCTTTGCCAGCTTCCGGAACGATCGGGGACGAGCCGGGCGGCTCCTGGTCCACCTCGGGAATTTCCTCGTTCGTTTCCTGCACGGCGTGTTCCGTTTCCGGCGACTCGTAATTCGTTTCTGGCGTCGCGTAATTCAGCTCGGGCGTCTCCGCGTTCATCTCCGACGGCTCCTGATAGATCGAGCTAGCCTCTGTCGGCACTCGATAGCTCGGGCCAGCCTCTGATAGCTTCTGGTGACCCGAATTAGTCGTATTTTCCTTGGTTTGCAACAGCTTCGTCGTAGTCTCCACGCGATTCGAAGTCGCCGACGCTTCTTTCGATCCTCCATCTTTCTCCTTGCCCTCTTCGGCTTGTCCGGTGGTCGTTTTCATGGTCGTCGAAGACGATGATTGCGTCTGCGTGTCCGATTCAAGGCAGATCGGCGTGGTACTGCTTACGACTTCTCGTCTCTCGTCCGATTGGGCGAGCTTCAGCTGCTCCACCGCGTGGAATATCACCTGCATCGCGTGGTTTTTTTGAATCGTTAATCCTAGCTGAGACGATGGATTCCTTGGGTCATTTGAAGTAACTTTTTCCTTAGCGAAAATCTTCTACGAGGCTTCGTTTACGAGTTATCGACGAAAAACAGTGGTCAATGAGAGCACGGCCGATGCCCCGCCCTCGCGACCACTGCCTCCGCGTCAGACCAATCGGAGAGCGAGTGCGGCCGGCGCTCCGCCCACGCGGTCAATGCAGTGCCGCGCCGGCTGCACTAGTTCTCCGATTGGTCAGCGTTTTTCGTCGATAACTCGTAAACCATGCCGCGGAGAAAATTTTTGTAAAGGAAAAAGTTGCTTCAAATCGCGTCGGGAACCCCTCATTTCCATACCATAATTTTCGGACACCCTGTAGAGTGACTTTGAACACGAAAAAGAAGCGGGATTCGCGACNGACGTTCCAGAGACGTCGATCGACCCTTTGCCAGCTTCCGGAACGATCGGGGACGAGCCGGGCGGCTCCTGGTCCACCTCGGGAATTTCCTCGTTCGTTTCCTGCACGGCGTGTTCCGTTTCCGGCGACTCGTAATTCGTTTCTGGCGTCGCGTAATTCAGCTCGGGCGTCTCCGCGTTCATCTCCGACGGCTCCTGATAGATCGAGCTAGCCTCTGTCGGCACTCGATAGCTCGGGCCAGCCTCTGATAGCTTCTGGTGACCCGAATTAGTCGTATTTTCCTTGGTTTGCAACAGCTTCGTCGTAGTCTCCACGCGATTCGAAGTCGCCGACGCTTCTTTCGATCCTCCATCTTTCTCCTTGCCCTCTTCGGCTTGTCCGGTGGTCGTTTTCATGGTCGTCGAAGACGATGATTGCGTCTGCGTGTCCGATTCAAGGCAGATCGGCGTGGTACTGCTTACGACTTCTCGTCTCTCGTCCGATTGGGCGAGCTTCAGCTGCTCCACCGCGTGGAATATCACCTGCATCGCGTGGTTTTTTTGAATCGTTAATCCTAGCTGAGACGATGGATTCCTTGGGTCATTTGAAGTAACTTTTTCCTTAGCGAAAATCTTCTACGAGGCTTCGTTTACGAGTTATCGACGAAAAACAGTGGTCAATGAGAGCACGGCCGATGCCCCGCCCTCGCGACCACTGCCTCCGCGTCAGACCAATCGGAGAGCGAGTGCGGCCGGCGCTCCGCCCACGCGGTCAATGCAGTGCCGCGCCGGCTGCACTAGTTCTCCGATTGGTCAGCGTTTTTCGTCGATAACTCGTAAACCATGCCGCGGAGAAAATTTTTGTAAAGGAAAAAGTTGCTTCAAATCGCGTCGGGAACCCCTCATTTCCATACCATAATTTTCGGACACCCTGTAGAGTGACTTTGAACACGAAAAAGAAGCGGGATTCGCGACGAAATCGTTCTCGCGCATGAACCGCGATAAGTCTCCGCGATGCGTGCGGTGGCCGGTGCGTGATTAAGGCTCGTTTAATTAAGCGTGGCTTACCTGCATGGCAGCGGGCAGATAGGAATCCGAGTACACGGGCTTCGAAAAAGCTGGCGGACTCCTGACTGTGCCGGCGATAGCCTGCAGGAACATCGTGCGTTAAACGTGGAACACAATTTATTCGATGCTGTCGGATCGCTGACGCGATTCTACAAAAATTCTGCACTTTCACCTTTCGGCTCGAAAACGACGTTTTTATTCGAATGAATAGTCAGCGATATTCGGCGATATTCGGCGCCGATTACGAGGAATTCGACTCTCCAGCGAATCGAACGCGGAATCCGGCGATAAATAAGGACTCGGCGATCTGATTGACGAAGAATAACGAGCCGTGGCTCACCTGATGGGCCAGTAGAACCACGAAGAGCCGGCCGACGACGTTCATGTCGACGTTCGCGGCGACGTTCCTCGACCCCGATGTTCCTCGGACACTCGAAACCGCCGAAGAAGCCTCGTTGCTCTCGAAATCGGCTAGACCACCTTCCACGCGAGTCTTCTCCGTCTCTTCTAAGCTCGAAAATTTTCTGGTAGAAAATCGAGGCTCGGTTCGCACTGATCACGAGTCGTTTCGAGCCTCGGCTGTGCGGCTAGAGCGGTCCGTTCGAACTCCGATCGGCAACTGGCCGGCGAGGCCGGTCGAAAACACGCGAGAAACCCTGGGATTCCTCGGGTTTTCCTTGACCGGATCGAGATATCCGCGACCGAGCGTTCGCACGGGACTGGACGGAAGGTAGGGTCGTAACGGTTCCAGAGTCGTCGCCGGCCGCCGCAGCACCTATATTCTGCCTACGCGATCGCGCGCGGAGCACGCGGCGGAAGACGTAGCAGATCGTGACACTTATTGTTCTGCCGAGCCGCGATCGGTATGCCGGCCGTGTCCCTGAACCCGGACGGATCATCGTTTCCCGGTGAGCGCGAGGTTTCGCGGATGTGCGACGCCATTCGCGGCGCCTCCGATCGTCCGAATCGAAGACGAACGATCCGTAATTATCTCGCAGCTACGTGATCCACGGGCTGGACACGTGCTCGCGCTTCTCGAGCATGATTGGAGAGAACGCACTACGTTTGGCGCACGGTTAAATTTACATGAGCCGGCCGGATCGTGACGCGACAGTGGACGAGGACGACTGCGGCGGAGAGAAAGAAGATGGCCAGACACAGTGGCCCGCAAAAATATTTGTTCATCTTTTTAAAATATAATTGAGCTGACAACTCGAATAATGCTTAAAATTATTTTCAAACTGAACTAAATGACTCGGAAATGATTTGGTTCGGTTTGAGAATAGTTATCGCGTGTTGAAAGGTGTGCGAACACTTTTGTGGGCCACTGTACATCGATGGAGTACAGTTAAATTCTCCCTAATTGACCTGGAAACAAACATGGACGATTTGGGAAGATACGATTATTCGATTTATATATATTTTTTATAAATTTAATTATTTTTATTGTATTATTGTATAATAATAATACTGTTCATAATATTGTTATACTGTTTATTATATTACATTTATATTATTCAATTATTTTATATTATTTAAAAACGTGACATGTCTCCTAACAATAATCGCATCTCCTCTCCCCAAAGGGGCGAGATGGGTGCGCAAGGGGTGAAATGCCGAACTTGTTGCTCGACGACACCGCGTCCATCTGGTTCGCGCCTTCGTGCCGATGATCGAAACGGTTCCCGGAATGAAAAATTGGTCCCTCGCCGTTGAAATTTTCACGCCTCGGATCGACGAACGGCGCCAAACCGTGCGCCATTGTATCGTTCGTATCGCACGTTCGTCCGCGTAAACGACAACGAGGATCGTTCGCTGAAGTGTAACACGATTTCATCGGCGCGCCTCGAATATCACGTCTCCAATATCTCGAACGTATTAGAAGTATGTAGACGCGCGCGCGCGCACGCGGAATACGAATTGCAGTTTTTACGAGAGACGAAGGATCAAAGGTCGCGCGCGGAGGATACGGTTTCGATGTTCTCTCGGTGGTAGAGAGGGAGATTCGTCGAAAGCGAAACGGCTCGAACGGAAAAGGGAAAAATAAGATGGCGCCGGTGGCACGTGATCGGGGACTTTCGTTTTCGAAAGACCTGCGACCTTGCCCAAGGCCACCGGTAACGATTCCACGGAGAGAGGAAAAGGAAGGCGGGACTGCATCCTCAAGGCGGTTCAGTTATGGAACCCGATCGAACACAATGAAGGGGAAAAAGGCGGACCGGTTCTCCCCAGATCGTTTCGTTCCTCTTGTGATACGGTTTATGGCACTCTCTCGTTCGTTCTGTGTTCTTTTTTCTTCTTCTCTTATTCACGGACGAAGCGAATCAATTGCTTGGTCTAGTTCCGTTCGAAGTTGACGCGTTTGGCTCGACAGAAGAGCGCCAACGATACGTTTTTACCGATCGGCGAAAAGCGGTCGGTTTATATTATTACGTAATCATCTAATGAAAATAATTAAATTTATACAAAATGTTATAGTACTATGATACTGTAAATCTCGAATAATCGTGTCTTCTGTTCGAAATAATTGTCCGTTTTCGATTACGAACCGAGGGACAATTGGGGAGAATTTATTGCACTGCGTTTCTCATATTCGCCAAGACATTTCACGTTGCCACTCGGCTAAACCAATTAATAAACTGCAAAACAATTGGGCAAATGTGTCCCACGATAGTGAACAATCGGTTTTATTTTTATACCGCGTCTGATAAAACTTGAATTCTGAAGATAAGAAAGAATTTTTGAAGATAACGAGTTTGACTCGTTGACTGATTAACAACCCCTTAATTGTGAATGTTATTCCGTTCACTCAAATTGGAATAAAACTCTGTTCCCGTGTCACGAATATTTAAGTATTGAAATAAATCTAGCTACAAACTTTCTACGATCTTCGAAGAAACGATCGCGATCGAAACAGTTCCAATCATCGTGACACATCAAGGAAATGGTGCGTCGAGTCTCTTTAACGGGTTAAAAGTGAAACGAGAATAGTTGCGCGACCGTATCCAAGGCTCTCGTTGTTGTCCGCGCGGATACCTGTACAATTTGGCAATTTCGTCGGTATCTACGGAGACATGTGGGTGCCCCCATACGATAAACAGCAGACCAGGAAGCGCTATATATCGCGCACGACTCGCGCGACTGCACTCACGTCCCGCGGAAATTCCGTGGAGCTTCGGTGAACGCGTTTCTCTCAGAATCCGCCGAGTGTTTTCAAGAGGACAAGCTCGTCGCGATGCCGTTCACGTTGTTTTCCTTGCTCGTCCTGATGGTAACGTTTCGCCGTGCAACCGCCGACCCCGATCCGAGAACCGGTGCGCCAAGATCGTGAATCTTTTGCTCGAATTTCCAGGCTGCCGGGGTGTCATCGAAACCTGTGGATCCGCCCATCGACGGCCACGCCGACGTGATCGACGACGGGACCTACCCGATTGGAAAAAATGAGGATCGGGACGCTTTGTCCGCCACCACCACCGTCACCACCGATTCCATCGCCGAGAACGTGAGTGTTGAATTTTTATTGCTGGGAATTAGGGACGCCGGTTTAATCGCACGCGCGACTAATGTACCGGGTGCGACAAGGATTATTCGATCGCAAGATTCTACGAGCGAAAATGCCCGAGGATGCTTTGTTAAACAATTATAAGAAATAATGGGAAACGACGAACTCTGGCTGGGAATTGGAAACGGTCGAAGCGTCGATGGTTTTTGAAAATACGGCTTTGGCGTCTATGAGAAATTGAACGAGTTAGAAAATCTAGCTTGAGTAAATATAAAAATATAAATATAATCGTATCTTCTCTTCTTAAATTGTCCATTTGTGCTTACAAGTTGAAGGAAAATTACGGAGAATTTATTATATTCGTTTGATCGCTGTCTTCAACAGGCCGAAGAGACCGAAAAAATTCCTCGTAGCGATAGAATGGCCCAAATTATGATCCTCTAAGTTTCTCGAAAGTTTTCAAATGTCGTTTCTCGATTTTGGCGGGATTTGCAGGCAAACGGATCGAGCACGTCGAAGCCGAGCCTGCTCACCTGGTTCCTGGCTCCGCTCTCCCAGAACTTGCAGTTCTCGCCGCAGTCGTTCCTGCGAGACCGCGTGGTCCAGTTGAAGGAGACTCTGGAGAACCTGAGGGGACCGCAAGTGGAGCGTGGGCCCGATCGTGGGAAGCAGCTCGGGACTGGAAGCGGTTTGCTGCAGGTCGCGGGCGCGAACGACGGATTTTACACGAACCGACTGGAACCTGTCGGCTTTTTCGGAGGCAACGGCTGGCTGGCGAACAAGGGTGGCATCGTGGGTGGTCCGGGTGCCATTCTTTCGACCGGCAGCATCCTCACGGACTATCCTTCGCCCTACAGGAGGAAGTAGAAACACGGAGTTCGGTGTGCGAAGCGAGCGTCGTCGGCGAAGAGATACACCGATGACTCTCAGAAATGTTCGGAAGTCGAAACTGAAACCGGCAGATCCAAGTCGCGATTCTTCGGACCTCGCGGCTCGTTTTTATACAAACTCAGGCCAGTCGGCGAAAAAGGCGGCGGCGATGCTGCAATAAAAACGATGACTTAACATTTTTGTTTCTAATTTTTTTGCCACGATTCGAAGGTAATTCGGAGGCCACGTGACAATATTATGCCGCATATACGGTTCGTTTATGTCATTTTTACTGCGTGGAATGATATCGTGTCGTAGGTCATTGTATTCGCGTCGTATTCTGTTTCTTACAAACGGCTTTGAACATTTTTATTTTACATAAAGATCCGCGGTTTGTTAATAACTTTAGTCCACTTAAAGTCCACTTAAACGGATCACCATATACATCTATCTCGCTTCTGCTCCTTGCATCTATTTTCTTGCTTCGTCGAGCCGTGTTCGTGCGAGTTCCTGATAGAACGAAATGTCTTGTACGCGAGAATTTACATGTCGCTCCAGAATCGATGTAAATTTAACCGTGCACCACCGTACAGGCTCTGTAGGAGCGTCGCCAGGAAATTCGTGGTTATGTCAAGATTATTTCCTGATAGGAAAAGATGTCTTGTACGCGAGAATTTACATGTCGCTCCAGAATCGATGTAAATTTAACCGTGCACCACCGTACAGGCTCTGTAGGAGCGTCGCCAGGAAATTCGTGGTTATGTCAAGATTATTTCCTGATAGGAAAAGATGTCTTGTACGCGAGAATTTACATGTCGCTCCAGAATCGATGTAAATTTAACCGTGCACCACCGTACAGGCTCTGTAGGAGCGTCGCCAGGAAATTCGTGGTTATGTCAAGATTATTTCCTGATAGGAAAAGATGTCTTGTACGCGAGAATTTACATGTCGCTCCAGAATCGATGTAAATTTAACCGTGCACCACCGTACAGACTCTGTAAAAGCGTCGGCAAGAAATTCGTGGTTATGTCAAGGTTATTTTCTGATAGAAAAAGATCGACTCCGTCAACCCTTAGCATTGACGTAGCAACAAATTACACAGGCGTAGAACTAGCACAGAGAAATTCGCAGCAACCCGAAATTTGGCATTTCCGGGAGAAATTACTATACATGTATCGAGAAGAATTTCGTTCATCCGCGGCGAAACGGCGAAGGGAGCGGTGCAAATGGATCCGCCCGGGCGAATGGGGAGCGTGTAACGTCGATATTAGATTCCCTCTCCTTTTTTTCCTCTCGTCCTCTCGTTTCGTTCTTATTGGACCGCGCAGAAAATGTCGACGGCCGCGCTTAAACGCGTAAACCGCCGCGACACTGTGCTATCGCTGGACGAATTTCGGCGGCTAGCAGCTCCGGAAATCCTTTGTCCCATTCGCGAGCCAATGAAACGCTCGTTTCACCGGTGGCGTTTCGGTTTAACAGAATTCGACGGTCGCGTAAGTGTCCGCGAGCTCGGCGCTGGAAATTCCTCGCCGCTCTCCATTGTTTTCGACGCTGGCCTTTTTTTCACGATCAAAAACGTTTTCGCGCGAGATGGCCTCCCCCCGCGCGATCTTCCCGCTGCTCGCTCGCGCAGTGATAGCACCTTATCGGAGAATTAATGTAAAAACAGCGCAATTCTTTGTTTTCGAGAAATCTTCGATTTTCCGATATTTGTTTGGTTTTCCATTTTTGATAGCCACAGAAGGCAACCGAAAAATCTGAAAAAATTCTACAACGTGCGGCTTGATGCCGGAAATATGCCACATTTTTTTCAAAACTTTAACAAGCCATCGAGGGGGAGGAAATTGGCGGAGAAGCGCGCAATCTAATTTACCCTCCAACTACCCTCGCGAACAGGGTTTTTTCTGTCGCATCGTACCCACTGTAGAATAAAACCCGATGCCGAAGAGATAGATGGATAGATAGGAGATATGAGAAGCGAACGACCCCGTCCGTTGAAAGTAACAGCCGCGGGCGTGGACGGGAGATCGATATCTATCTATCGTTTTAAATGGAATCGTTGGGGAGGAATTGTTCGGAGGAAGCGATTCGCGCGGAGGAAAGGAGCAATTCTCGTGGCGGAAAATTTTCGGTTATTTTCGTCGAATATACTCAGCCTCGACGTAGAAGTTTCAACGAGTCCCCTCGGTTCTAAAACGCACGGCGCAATGTGCACGCACCTCTCTCGGCTCGGCCGCGATTTTCACCGACACGAGGCTCCGTGGGCCGCGATGCACCGCGGGGATCAATTTCGGGCAAGTTCTCATTAAACCGTGTAAGTTTCTCGCGAGCTTCCCGGAACAACGGGTAAATTCAAAATTAAAACAAAGCCGCGGTGCGCGCCGCGCGCGAATTAATTCCTATCGTATTTCGCGGACCGCTGTTTTTTAAACATTTCCGCGCGCGTGATAATGGGCGAGCGAGGGAAAATACGGGCTTAACGAACCCCGGGAACTTCTTCCCCGTGCTTCGATTAATACTTCGGTAATGAACCTAGCGAACGATTCTTTACTCGTCCGGCGAATATAATAATTCTGCACAGCCCGGTGCACGTTTTACGCGCGATTCCGTCCACGTACTTCCTCTGACAGTTTTTAAACTCGCCGCGGGAAGGAACGTTTTATCGGTTACGTCTTCCGTTGCGTTTTGCCGTGCCGCGTGCCTTGGGAACGCTGTCCCAATTCTATGCGCTCGAAATTCGATGCGACGACCGCAGCAATGTGCTTGGAAAAACTAACAATAATATATATAATAATGTATATAATAATATGAAATATTATATTATATTATATTATATTATATTATATCATAATATAATATTAATATTATATACAATATATATAATAATAATATAAAAATGGTAAACGGCATTTATTTGCACTGACCGTCGAACATCCGATATTTTTTAGTCGCAGGCTTCGCAACGGGCGACGCCGTGATTATGCGAAGTTTACCTTGCGCCGCGCCGCGACAAACAGCGGCGACTTAATGACGTACGCTTGAATCGATAGGACAGATCACGTTTGTTTTCCAACGGTTCCAAGCGCACCGACGCCGAAACGACGTAATTTCCTAGGAAACGATAATAAATGGGAAATTGTTCTAGGACGATTGTGTTCGACCGTGCCGCGATAAAATTGCTCGGCGAGCTAGCACGAGCGACCCGATAGCTGATTCGAAAGCGGCGGTCCTTTCAATTAGACCGAGCACGCAAAAATGGAAACGTCGAGTGGTCTTAATTCATCGGCCCCGCTCGTTGCACAATGCGCTCCATTCGTAATGGCCTCGGAAGTTCCGCCGAGTCAGGACTCTGTCCCGCTGCTTAGCATCGCGAGTGCGTCGACGGATTAGCCGTGTTACGTACAGAAACGAAGACGATCCCGTCTGTCATTATCGCGTGGAATTAGCAGGGAATTAGACAGGGAATTAGTCGACTAGTTTTACAATATTGTACCAAATTTGCTTCTTGTTGTTTCACGTAGAATCACTCTCTGTTCGCTTGTACCACGAATTCCGGCCCACTACGTTTATACAGGGTGTCCCAAAATTATTGTACGGGCGGGGAAAGAGAGGTTCCTTAGCTGATTTGGAGAAACTTTTTCCTTAGCGAAAATGCGATCCGCGATTTTGTTTACGAGTTATTAACGAAAAACAGTGACCAACGAGAGATCGTGTACGGCTGTCGCCCCGCCCTCGCGTCCACTGCCGCTGCGTCAGACGGCCGGCGCGACGTGGCATTGGCCGCAGGGCGGAGCGCTGGTTATACTCGCTCACCGATTGGTCAGCGTTTTTCGTTGATAACTCTTAAACGAAGCCGCGGATTGCATTTTCGAAAAGGAAAAAGTTTCTCCAAATCACCTCAGGAACCCTTTCATTAATTCTGTATGCAGCATTTTGCTCGAAAACGTAAAGATTCTCCGCAATGATTTTTCACATCGTCCAAAGAGCCGACGTTCCTGTCGTTGAGGAAATTTTGCGAAGACGCGGATAAGTGGAAATCAGAGGGTGCAATGTCTGTCGAATATGACAGGGTGGGTTAGAACATCCCGGCCAAACGCGAACAGCTTTTGTCGCGTGGCCAAAGAGACACGAGGCCCTGGCATTACCGTGATGGAAGACGATATCCATCCGATTCGCTAATACCGAACGTTTTTCTCGAATCGCGGTTTTCAATTTATCCGGTTGCGAGCAGCATTTATCCGAATTTATCGTCTGATTGTGTGATAGAAGCTCGTAATGCAGGATTCCTTTCCAATCTCACCGGACAAAGAACGTAACTTTCTTCGGATGAAGACTGGCTTTTGGGCTGGGTAATGGTTGTTCATTTCGCTCGCACCGGGATCTTCTTCGCTCGACATTATTGTAAATTCTCCATTTTTCGATAGACACGGCTATCTGCGACAAAAAGGGTAAATTTTTGTTCTGTAAAGCTGCGCGTAACGCATTCGTTGTAACGTTTTATGCGGACGCAAGGTTTACGTGGATTAATGGGTGTTATATTAATATAAATAATAAATTAAATATGAGAATCGGGGCCACAGAATATTCTAAACATCGTGAAATTTGAGAATATGTTTTTCTTTTCACTAAAATTACAATTTAATGCCGCTACTTTTTACACGCGACGAGTATACTCGTCGTGATAGAAGATACTGTCGCTTCTCCGTGACGAGTATACTCGTCAAACACAGCTAACCGGTTAACACTCGGTGAGAACGAGACAGGTTTACGGAAATTTTCGCCTATTTTTATCCGGGGGAAAATCGAGCCCCGTACGTCAGTACATCTTTAAAGAGAAAAGCCTCCCTGCTTAGGGGCTGCAAGACACCTTATCCCTTGAAGCAGCGGTGTTAACAAATTCTGAGGTGTCGCCTTCTACAGGCGATTCCGCAACATCTGGCCCTAACCTTTCTATTGACATTCTATTACAACGTTCTATTATATTTATATATAATATATGTTATATTATATTATATTAATTATAATTATATTATATTATATTAATTCAACCCTAACCTTTTCATTGACATTCTATTACAACGTGCTATTAAATTTATATATAATGTATGTTATATTATATTATATTGTAATATATTCTAATATATATAATATATTATATTACAATATATTCTAATATATATTATATATTACATTATATATATTATATTTGTCTATAATTTTCTTATTGTTTTCTTCTCGCTTTTCTCCACCCTTTGTACAACAATAAACACTGTCATATCCTCGAAAGAATCGATGAACGACAAGCAACGTCGAAGCAACGCGGCTTCTTTAAAAGCGAATCGTAGGTCAAAGGGTTAAAGCAGCATTCGCGGGGTTCCGGAATGCCGGGGGATTTTCGGGATGACGCGTGCCCTGCATTATGGATCCCCCTGTAGATCGCAGCCCTATATCATGTCGGGGGTGGGAGAGCGTGCTGGTGGGGGTTGGAATAAAACGATTCAGCGTTCGGGGAGCGGAGACTCAGTCGATCGAGTGACGCGGCCGCGGATGGTCGCGGTCGTTGGTCCTTCCTCCAGGAACACGCGACGAACGTGATCGCGACGATAATAAACGAACGTGCGAGAACCGCGAAATTGAAAAAAAAACAGACAGAGAAAAGGAGAAACGGAGAAACATCGCGGACATATTCGGCCCGGCGAGGTTCAGCTTCGGCGAAGTTGGACGCAGTTTTTTCGGCCGCGTTCCATTTTCCGTTTGTGACTGGCGAAACTGGGTTGATCGACCGGCCCGCTGCGACGAACCCTTTCCCTTTCGACTGGTAAAGGGTCTGGACTCGATCCCGACTTCGCGGGAACTTGCGGGATGATCGAGACTCGGGGGTGAAGCAGCGACGCCTCCGGCCGCCCTCGTCTTCCACCGGTAGGCCGAGCCCTGTATGTTATTGTTTTTGTGGGCCACGTGCGTTCCCTGCAGCCATCCCTTAATTTATATTTCGCACAGAATTAGACGGTTGTTGTTAAAATCTCACGAGCCATCTCCGCTGTTTTGTCTCGTCTCGCGTCTTTGAAACAACGCTGGGAAAACAATAGATCGTCTTTGCTCGACGGCCAATTTCCATTTTTTAGAACCCTCTAAAATTAGGGAGAATCCACTCGTGTAACGAATAACCCCTATTTTAGATCCCTCGCAAAACTGACGTGTTAATTATCGTCGAAACGGAATTCCTCGCGGAGAGATCGCGCATTTTCGTCGCGAAGAGATCTCGCGTTCTCGTCGGAGACAGCTCCATAAACCCTTTAAAGGGACACTTCCCTCGCCGCGTAAACGTAAGCGTCGATTATTTCGAGGCAACGTAACGTCTTCGCAGACGGAATTCACGCGAATTTCGTCGCGCGAGCCGAAAGTTTCGTCGAAATGTTTCGCAAGCAATTTCGTATTGCTTTTGTTTCGAGCTGCTCGAAAAAGGAAACACTTTTTCCAGTGAGACTCTGCGAAATTTTTATCTTGTTTGCAAAACGTGATTCGACGTTTTGGCTCGACGGCGGAACAGCGTTTGCGAAATAATGAATCACCGTTTGACTCGAGATGGGCGGGTACCCGAGCCTCGGGTTGAGCGCGCCTCGGGCCGGGTCGGGACCCGAAAGCTTGCGATCCTCGGGTACCCGACGTCGAGGGCTGGCCAGGTAGGGCTTAGGTCGAGAACCCTAAAATATACAGGGTGTCCCGTAATTATCGTGTTTCCGAGGAAGGGAAGATTCATGGGGTGATTTGAAGCTGTCTATAGGGTGTTCCAAAATTATCGTGTTGTTTTCGGGAAATGGGGTGTTGCCGAGGTAATTTGAAGTAGTGTATGGGGTGTCAAGGTTATGTCAAGGTTGTTCGTTTACGAGCTTTTAACGAAAAACAGCGAACGATGAAAGAGTACCCGGGTATCGCGAACTTTCGACCCGAACCTGAAATGTCGGGTGTCCGCCCATCGTTGCTGTTTGCAAAAATAACGACGCACTAGTTAAAATTCCGTGTAGCGTTCCGGAAGATATTACAATAACACTCCATCGCCGAGGAGGCGCGTGGAATGCTGAACAAAGCTGAATAAATATAATATAAATATAATACAAATTAATATATATAATATTTGTATATATATTTTATATATTATACTTCAATTTGACATATATTATATTTGTATATATATATCATATATATTATAACAAATGCTGAGTGCTAAACAAAGCTGAACAAATATAATATAAATTATAATATATATATATTATATTTGTATATAATATATATATAATATATGTATTTATATTTTATATATTATATTTCAATTTGACATATATTATAATTGTATATATATCAAAAATATTATAACAAATGCTGAATGCTGAACAAAGTTAAACAAATATAATATAAATTAATATATATTATATTTGTATATAATATGTATAATATTTGTATATATATTACATATATTATATCAAATTAAAATATGATACAAATAGAATATTCCATGAAAAGTTGATCAGCATGGAGAAGCCCGTCGTTTCCCGATAAAAGAGTTGGCGGAACGAAATACAATGCGACCCGACAGCGGTGTAAATTTTTACGGGCCGCCGTCGACGCTCGTCCGTGAGTCATATCACTCCATCGCCACCCCGTTTCTTCATCCCGGCCTGGATCAGACGCATTTGTCGCCGGGGATGCGTTTATTGCTCGCGCATCGTCACTTTCGCGGGCTCCATGGAATTTCATGGCGAACCGACGACGCGTCGCGCCGCGCCGCGGTCGAACGGCGTCTAGAAAATGCCGCGGCGCGCCGTAAAAACGCGTCCCAGGGATGATAACATTATTTCGTAGCGCGATCCGATCGCCCCATTCTTCTTCGTTGCGTTCCGACGCTTTTTCACGGATGTGCGGATTTTTCTGGGACGCCCAACCCTTCTCGGATCGCGGCGTAAATCGAAGCTTTTCCCTCGTTGGACGTTGCATTTCGGACAGCTATGAGTTATCGCGTCGACATTTCTGGATCCCGAAGTTTCAACGCCCGCGAAATTGATGTTATAAAATGCGAATTTTCAAACGAAAATTACGGAAGTTGTGTTTGTTGCGCGAAACCGGAATTGTGACGACAAGTTTCGGTCTTTTGTCGCACGTTGATTGATTTACTTAAAAAATGAGACGGAAAGTAGAATTGTTCTGTAAGCGAAGAGTTGTTATGTAGTTTAATTTATTAGTGTTTAATACGTACAGTTGGTAGGATTTACGCGTTTATTTCTAAACATTAAAATCGCAAATTATTTATATTTTGATAATCACGTTCCTCTTCTATCGAAATGGCGAGCTTCTAATTTTTTCAAAATCAAATTATGGTTATTAACATTGCTTGAGAGAAATGGCAAGTGCATTTACGAAGATGTACAATGCGTGTTTCATTTTGTTAGCTGCCGATGAGGCAAGTTGTCAAGTCATAATGATTTTTGTCCCATCTTTAGAAAGACTCAACCGCAGCGCGTCGCGTCGTTCTGTCGCGAGAAGATAAGCGGAGAAATTTAAATTGGAGAATAATCTGGAAGTTTATGGGCGCGTTGTTAAAAATCCTCGTAAACGCCGCGACTCTGTTAACAGTCGGAAGATAAAAGTTAGCCCGAAGGTGTGCTCCGTGGCGTCGTAACGAACGCCTAACGATAAGGCTTCTACTAAAAAGTTTATCATTATTGCGATGCCCCAAGGGGGCCGGCGAGGCACAAGCTCGAAATACAGGCTGTCCCAAAATTATTGTACAAGCGAGAAATAAGAGGTTCCGCAGATCATTTGAAGTAACTTTTTCCTTAGCGAAAATGCAGTCCGCGGCTTCGTTTGCGAGTTATTGACGAAAAACGGTGACCAATGAGAGATCGCGTACGGCTGATGCCCCGCCCTCGCGGTCAGTGCCATTGCGTCAGATAGCCGGCGCGACGCCGCACTCGCTCTCCGATTGGCCAGCGTTTTTCGTAGATAACTCGTAAACGACGCCTCGGAGAAAATTTTTGTAAAGGAAAAAGTTACTTGAAATCATCTCAGGAACCTCTCATTTCCCGGAATTATCATAATTTTGGGACAGCCTGTAGAATCCGTTCGTTAACGAACGTCGTTGCGGCGAACGAATATCGCGTTTTTGTCGTTTCGCCGAATGAAATTCAAAATTCTTTGAAGCCGCGTAAATTGAAGGAGACTGAAGGAGAGAGCCTGGCGCTGCGAACTTTAATATTGCGTTAGAAGTTCCATCGGGGGAACAAAGTGGAACCGTAATCCATTCAGAAACGCAATTTCGCGATAACTCCCCGGTCTTTCTTCTGTTTTCTCTCTCTCTCTCTCTCTCTCTCTCTCTCTCTCTCTCTCTCTCTCTCGAAACGGAAGGAAGAATTCTTCCGGCACGTTGAAGTCAGAACTTCGAAACGTCGTGCTCGAAACCCGCGGAACCGTCCCTGGCCGCGGAATCGTAACGAACGCGCGAGCTCGGCAACTTTTGCGGATTAAATTTTATAATTCCGATGCAAATGTAATTTCCGGCGGGAAAAGTTTCGACACCGAAACTCCGGATGGGAATCGAATATTTAAATCTTGTACGTCCGAATGTCGCCGATCGCTCGTTCGAAAATCACGACGTCGCGACGGCCGGGGGCTCTGCGCTGATCGAGCACTTCGAGTACCAGTCGCTTCGAACTTCGAATTGGCTTCTAAAAAAATTCCAGATTTATTTATGCATCCAGATTCCATTTATTCGCAGTCTTGTTTGGACGGCGGAAGCCGAAAGGTCATTCTCGCGAGACGACTTCTCAGAGATCCGTCGGTAGGCTCGGGTTTAACGGGTTCAACCGTGTCTTCGAGCAGGCAAATCTCCCGGGCAAACTGTTCCAGAGCCCGCGGTATGTTTGAAGGCTTCGCTCTCTGCTAAACAGAATCTTTATACGTACAGGAGGGGCGGCGTGGGTGGCCACTCGACGCGGGGGTGAGTATTTGCACGGTCGCGCGACGTCTGAATGCCGTGTCGAGACATTCGTCGATGGTTGAACAGAGAGCGTCATCGGGAACGAGTGACCCGTTTGTTAATTCGTCGAGAGCGGCTTTTACTTTTTTTTTCTTTCGCAAACGGATCCGGCGACGATCCGTTCTTCCCGCGGCCGCGACCTTTCCTGAGCGGCTAATAATTCTCTTTCGGAAATATCCCCGTTTTTCAATCAACCCCGCCGTTACACCCGCGGCCTCCGCGCTCACCGAAGCGAAAAGAGTCTCATTAACGCGAGCTAATTGCCCGCGCCTCGCTCGTTTCTGCCGTCGGCGAGCGGGGAATACGAGAACGGTCTTCTAAAGACGCGAAAGCGTCGCGAAAATTCGACAACAATGCGCGGCTATTATTTAAAAATCTTATCAATATTTGTGATGAAAATTTGAGGCGCCACGTTCAACCAGATTTCTGGAGAGTGCAGGTCCAAAATATAGGATAACCGGTGTGGATTGAATATTCTTAATGTAAGATGAGAATTTGTATTGCGTCATTTATTCTATTTTATTTTATTCTATTTTATTTTATTTTATTTTATTCTATTTTATTCTATTTTATTCTATTCTATTCTATTTTATTTTATTCTATTTTATTTTATGCTACTCTATTTTATTTTATTCTATTTTATTTTATTTTATTTCACATTATTTTGTTTTATTTTATTCTATTCAATGTCCCTTTCTTTTCTCTCCATATAAATAAAATAAATGAATCAAATATTCCGTCCTCCCGAAGTCAATTTTCTGACAATTCAAGAAAGCCTCGCTCAACAAAAATTTCTCGAAAATAATCGGGCGATGTCAGCCGCGACAACGAAGTAGAAAGTTTTCGTAACGTTGCAAGAACACCGCGATTACGTCTCTAAGCGTTTCAACCAACAGTTTCAAG